CATGGTCAATGGGGTCTTTCGATTGCACATATTTGAACCAGAGTGTTCTCTTCCTCTTCTTCAGCTTCAGGGCCTCACGGTTGATGTAAATGTTCTTCTTTGCTGCTTTGGGCAGGGCAGGTGGCACACCCTTGTCAGTTACTTCCTCTATATATGATCTTCCAGTGGTTGTACCTTGCTTGCACTGTCTTGGGCATGTGATCTTCCCAGTCTGCTGAACTCATAAGCAAATTCATTCAGTCAAAGTTGGCCTTGTGGAAATTCAGAGTATTACCTGATGGCTCTGACCACTGGGTGTAACACTCAGGGGTGTAACTTTTGCTTTTGAGATGGGGGTGCACTTGATGATAGGGGCGACCTTCAATGAGGATAGGGGCGCTTCCAAGGAGCATAGATGGTGCATACTGCATATCTCTCAACAGGCGCGCACACAGGATTTTTGAACGGGAGGGGGGTGCACGACCTGCAAGCTGGGGCCCTCCATGCCGAAGGGCCCCAGGCCCCAGCCGAAAAAGTTCCCCAACGCGATTATATTTCGGTTGACTTGAAACTTAGCTTCTGTCGATACATGATAAAACAATTACTTCAGTACCCGTTCAATTTTCAAAGCATTTAATGTTCCATTTTTGTTTACGCAGCATGTTTCATTCAAATACGGTTCAGGAGTAAGTAGGTATCACCATCTTACGCATACTACAGACACAATTTTCAGGCGGCATGCCCACTTTCCTAGTACATACCAGTCGTAACCGATATTCAGGAAGCCCGTACCAGGGCACGTACGGCGGCCCCGATCACCCACCTCTCGCTGTTCCGGCGGCGTGCGAGGGACCCACGGCGACCGCGCACCTCACCGACAAAGCATGCACTGTCACAACGAAGAAGCCCTCAAAGGGCCCGAAGATCCAAGAGCCCTTTGAGGCCTTCTGAGGGACGTTTGACGTCAGCTGAGGGCACTTTGGACCTAGCTGATGGCCCTTTGAGGCCTTCTGAGCGCCATTTGACGCCAGCTGAGGGCCATTTGATGTCAGCTGAGGACCCTTTGAGGCCTGCTGAGGGCCCTTCGACGCCATCTGAGGGCCCTTTGAGGCCTTGTAAGGACCCTTTGACGCCAGCCGAGGGCCCTTTGAGGCCCTCTGAGGGCCGTTTGACACCAGCTGAGGACCGTTCGACGTCATCTGAGAGCCCTCTGACACCAGCTGGGAGCCTTCTGACGCCATCTAAGGGCCCTTTGAGGCCTTCGGAGGGCCGTTTGACTCCATCTCATGGTCTTTTGACGCCCTTCAAGGCCTTCAAGGGCCCTCGCCAGCTGAGGGCCCTTTGGGGTCTTCGGAGGGCCATTTGACGCTAGCTTAGGGCCCTCTGACGCCAGTTGAGGGCCCTCTGACACCAGCTGGGGGCCCCTGACGCCAGCTAAGGGCCCTTCGACGCCTTCGGAGGCGTTTGACGCCGGTGCAGGGCCCATTGGCGCCTTTAAAGGCCGTCTGAGGGCCGTTTGATGTCGGCTGAGGGCCCTTTGATGCCTTTTGAGGGCCCTTTGACGACATCTGAGGGCCCTTTGACGCCACCTGAGGGCCCTTTAAGGCTAACTGAGGGTCCTTTAAGGCCTTCAGAGGGCCCTTTGACGCCAGTTGAAGGCCCTTTGGGTCCTTTTGAAAGTTGTTGAAATTTGACATCTATCACCTTCCCCTTGACTGCGCTGGACATTGTATTTATGACCTCATTTGGGCCTGCTGGGGTCCGATATGGGCCCTCCTGGTCTTTTTAATCGTCATTTCAGCTCATTTTAGACAGTCTTCGGCGGTTTTAGGATTCTAGGGGCCCGTTTGAGAACCATTTGAGATGGCCCCCTTTTGAATGGGGGGGGGGGGGGCATGGGCCCGTGTGTCCCCCCCCTTGTGTGCACCTTTGTCTCTCAATTTCGGTAAAATGCTTTGTTGGTATATTTCGAAATTCAGACTTAACCCTATTCCTGGCGGGCTCCGCCGGGACAAGAAACTGGCGGGGGGGGGCCGATTCGGCCCCCCTTCAGATCTCAAAAACTACACATCGCAGCGACAAACGGTAAACGGCATCGGATACGCACGGTCAAGATCTACAATTTTTACTAAGGTCATTTTCAGGTCAGGTCAAAGATGACGTCACAGGGGTCGAAAAAGTCAAAATGGCGGCGCTAGATATGGAGATAGTTTTTCTCGAATAACTTTCGAATTAGTCAAGATAGGAACAAACTAAGGGCATCGTCGTGATCCTCTCGTCAATCCGCATCGAATGATATATATGTTGACCTCGTTAGGTCAAGGTCAAAGGTTGACCTCAGGTCACGTGACCTCGAGGTCATCATGTATATCATTCGATGCGTCTTGACGAGCTGAACACAATGAGACCATCCACGCGTCTGTATCTTGTTCCTGTACGGAGTTATTGGCCAAAAACCTTTGGTGACCTTTGATGACGTCACATGACCTCACAGCTGCCCAACAGCAAAACAGACCTCAAGGTAGTGAAGGTTGATCGTATATGAAGTCATGTATGGTATATGGGGCCATTCCGACCCGTTTTAGTGGTAAAAACAGGGAGTTGATTTTTCCCCCATTGACTTATAATGGGGAGGTCGCGAAACTGACCTGACCTTAGGTCACCGATATCAAAATTCCGAGATATACAAATTGCACATACTGGTACCCTAACTAAAGCCTGAAGAGAAGAAATTGATCGGTCAAAAACTCTAGCTCTGGCGTGATTGCAAACTTTTCTGAGGTAGGGTCACCAAACCGCCTCTGGTGACCTGACCTGAGGTCAGATCAACTCAAAATTTTCAGACATGTTGCGTAGAAGCCTTTTAGGAAAAGTCAGAAAATTTGAGCTTCCTAGCTCAACGCGTTTGGGAGAAATAACCAAAAAACCTCAGGGGGGGGGGGCTCCTGAGGCCCCCCCCCCGCCAGGAATAGGGTTAAGAGTGATCACCATTTTGTGTTCCTCCGATTTAGTTTGAACACAGTCTGATGTTGCTTATATGATTGCAGTTCATTTATATTAACCCAAGGCCCTCTTCTGCCGGGCGTGCTCAACTTCTGCTTAAGTCGCTCGACCTTTTCTACTGAGGGCGCCCTTCTTGTGCTTTGCGAGCCCAACTGCTGCTTGAGGTGTCCCATTTTTATTGGATGCGCCCCCTTCTGCGGGCGGTGCCCCCGTTCTGTTGGAGGCGCCCATCTTCTGGTGGCGGCGCCCCTCTTCTGGTGGAACCGCCCCTCTTCTGCGGGTGCGCACTCTTCTGCTAGAGCGCCCCTCTTCTGCTCGGCCAGCTCAACTTCTGCTGAAGGTGCTCGGCTATGTCTGTTGGGGGCATTGCTCTTTTGCTGGGGATGTCCCACTTCCGTCGGGGCCGCTGAGGACGCCCCACCTCTGCTGGGGGCGCTCCCGGCCCCACTGCTGCTGGACGAACCCAACTTTTGCTCCAGGTGCCCCTTTTGCATTGGGGCGCCTCTATCCTTTAGGCATCCCTCTCCTGGTAGGGCGCCCCTTTCTGGTGTGGCGCCCCTTTCTGCTGGGGCGGCCCTATGCTGGGGGTACTCCTCTACTGCTGGGGGCGCCCCACTACTGCTGGACGAGCCCAACTTTTGCTTGACGTGCCCCATTTATATTAGAGTGCCTCTCTTCTTCTGGAAGCATCCCTCTTCTGGTGGGAAACCCCCTTTCTGCTGGGGAGCCATTCTTGTGCTGAGGGGGCTCCTTTTCTGCTGGAGGCATCTCTCTTCTGGTGGGGCGCCCCCTTTCTGCTGGGGTGCCGTTCTTCTGCTGGGACACCCTTCTTATGGTGAGGCGCCCCTTTCTGCTGGGGTCGCCCGTGTTCCACTGAGGGCGCTCTTCTACTGGGCGAACCCAAGTTCTGCTTGAGGTGCCTCATTCCTACTGGGGGCGCCTTTCCTCAACTGGGGCGCCAGTCTTATGCTTGACGATCCCAACCTACGTTGGAGTGGAGGTGCCCCACTTCTGCCTCGGGCGCTCCACTTTTGCTGAGAAAGTCCCGTTCTTGCCGGAGTGTGCCCCTTCACCCATTTTTGGGGAACGATACGACTGGACGCTTCCCAAGCCCGCAAGCAGCACGACGCCGGTCACGAGACGGAATGTAGCCGGGAAATCACCCTCGCCATTTGCTCAAGAATTTATCGGTGTCGGGCGGCAAGGGGGGCGCCGCTTAGCCTATGGGGGTGCACTTTGACGTGATGGGGGTGCACTTTCAGGGGATGGGGGTGCACCTGCACCCCCATACATATAGAAAGTTACACCGCTGGTAACACTCCAAGTCAAATGCCTGTCCCGTAGCTCAGTTGGGAGAGCATCGGACTCCCGGTGGTGAGAGCCCGGGTTCGAGACGCTCCGGCGCTCGATATTTGAGACTCCTGACGGGGATGGTCTGCGGTTGGTGGGAGCAGCCGCAGCCAGTTGAAGTCAGTTGAGTGGGACAGGCCGTGCCCGGCTTTGAAGGGCACGTTAAACTTTGGCATCTAAATTCTCCCGTTACCCGGAATTGCGCGATCGGACGGTAGGGGTCGGGGTCTACGCAACAAGCTCTGCTTAGCGTAGACTCCGGCTCTGTCAATCCGTCCATTCAAACATTCGAGCTAAATTTATAAAAAAATGATATTATCACATGATCACTCTTACCAAGCCCTGGGTGGAAGTCAATGTTCTGCACCATACCTACTTTCCTCGTTTGAAAAAAATAAGGTCTAGTGTGTGAGGTTCCTCTCCTACCCTGAAACGGGTAGGTTTGTGTTATGTGCTGGTGGAGAAGGCAATCCTGGACGGCATTGATAAACGTGTGTGAGTAATGGGTGGCAGACGCTGACGAAAGACCCAGGTTCCAGTCCACGCTTGGCAAATTGAAATCTCCAGCAATTACAACATGCGAGTACCCAGCTGAGCTTTCACACAAAACAATGCAAAAAGATGGCAACTAAAAAATTTCAAGTGAGCCTTGGGGCTTGGGGCCTTACCTGTTCGTCCATGCAAAGCATAAGCTTGCGCTGAGCTACAATCTTCTGAATGCGTTTGTTGTAGGAGGCGTTTCCAGCTGGACGTGTACAACGTCCCACCTCGTCTCGCAGGCAGCACGTCTGGCCGTGTGAAGCGCGAGAGTCCCGGGAATCTTCGTCACCCGTGCTAAAGCCGTTCATCACTGAGGACCTGCATAGTGGCATTAGACTTACTAAAAAGGCATTGCCTACAGGCTACAGTGCATCAACCTTTATTCTGGCTCATAATCATTCAAATTTGCTGACTGTATTGCTTTCACAGATGGGTAATGGCTGAAATGAAGTAAGCAAGCTTAACAAAAGAACAACATTGAATACCTACCACACTTTTCTTTCACTGCAGTATTGATTCATCGTGCTCCGTACCTACCATCAAAGGTAGTCTTAACTATCAGCTGCTTTTTCTTAGGTATTATTGAAGCTGAAGCATGACAAAAAAGTGTGCGTAGGTAGATAACTTACCATTTAGGAGGAAAGTAAGCATAAATCTTCAGAGCAGGCCAAGGCAGGTACAACGTTCCTTAAAGATGTCTTGTAATCTTGGGTATAACCAGGTAATCAACCAAGGCAGTATGGTACAACTACCCGTACCCGCACAACTATCTGTAAGAATCTTGCAAGTTGCAACTACCTACCCCTCCTATAGGGCCTGGCACCCTCCCTACACCTTCAGCTGATACGAATCTCTCACCCCTGCCGCCCCAAACAGCTCCTGCCGCCGCCGGCTCAGGCTGTTTGCGTCCAGTCAAGTTTTTTTGTTTGGCTTTTGGAGTTTGAGGCGATTAGGAAGCGACAACGACAATTTCTGTTCAAAAGCGCGAATACCATATCGACTGCGCATTCCCTCACCATCACAGACCAATCGGCGTCCACATCGGACGATGCGAAGCAAATGTCAACAGTTTCTGTCAGTCTAACGGTGGCGGCCATATTGCGCAGACCCGGAACCGGCCGCCGCTTGTATTGAGGGGTAGGGAATTCGGGACCTCGATTTACGTTTGCGACCGCCGCATCAGTTACGTTCAAGTTACGTAGTTACGGAACCCGGCATCTTACGCGGAATTGAGTGGGGAACACGATCGCATATTCAGAATTCCTCAAATTCACTCGCCGGACCATCGTCCTTCTACATTTGCCCCGGCCGAGAGGGTTGATTGAACCCACCTCGCTAATGCGCCGCTAATTCAGCTAGAGTTTAGCGGAAAAGTGGTCGTATGCGGCAGAGTACAATGCAGAGTGACTGGCAGGAGTCTGGTTTAAAGGTCTCAGGTCAACTGGTGACCTCTGAGGTCAGGTCAAGTGACCTAAGGCACGGGTTCGGTTCTTGGTAAATAACTTCGCCAAAAATGGCCGTAGAGCCGCGATTTTGGCATCATCGTGTTCACCTAGCCCAGGCGCATTGAGTGATATACTTTTTGTTCGGGTGAGGTCAATTTAATGCATTGACCTCGTGACAAGGGTCAGGTCAGAGCTCTCAGGTCACGAAGCAGGTCGAGTAAGGTACTGCTGCATATCGTCCGATTCGGCAGGTCTTTCTGAGTCCATATTGATATGTGGCTTTATTTCGCTGCCAGCCCTTGGCCAGCCCAGTAGTCGTAGACCTCGAGTCGTACTAGGTACACTGAGAAATCATGTAGGTACCAAGGTTGTAGGGGCCTCTGGGCTCCGTAGGTACGGGGACCCGCAGTTGCTACCGTACACGAACCCTAACTCTAGCCGTCTGTCCTGTCCAGTAACAACCGATACCATTGGTACCGACTGCCGGTCCCTGTACAATAGCAGCTGAGGTTTTCTCTGCGTGCCCCCTGACAGCTTATCGTTGTTCCCTCATCCCTGTGAGGGTGCTGGGACAATTTACACTCAGGGTCGCTGTACAGTAGCAACTGCGGGTCCCCGTACTTGACCTGTCGAAATGAAAATGATCTCATTTGATACCCTGTGTGTGATTTCACCAATAGTTCCGAGTAGGATAATCGCATCTGACCTCGATAACTTGTTTAAAGGCTCAACGTGTTTATCCCAATTTATTATAGGCAGAGGCACCCTAAGCCATGGATCCTTAATGAATTATGGCTCATCACCAAGCCGATCGATATAAAAGTAGCGGCATCCGATTTCGCAGTGCATCTAAAATACAGTAACCATGGTGACCTTGACAGGTCAACTGAGCGTTTTCGTTAGCACTTATGCACTTATGTTTAAGTTCAGTGCCATCTTAAACATAAATAAGCAATCACGGGACCTAGCGGGCCGAAAGCACTGCCATTCAATAGGTACAATTACTATCACATAAAAGTGTAAGCACATTCTCGAATACGGTGACCTCAAGTGACTTTGGGAATTGGGCGTCACGCTTCATAATACGGATGAATTTATCTGAGGGATCTGGCTTCGCCAGTGATTCTCGAGTTGGCGTCATACGCAGGGGCGAAGAAAGACGTAACTAAACAATAATAGCTAAGCTAATAGGTATGAGGCACGCTCCTGTTATGAGTGTTTGAAGTCTGCTTCAATAAAACATGTCAAAAAGCATTAAAAAAAGACTAAATACATAAGACGTTTCACAGTCAAACAATGGCACTTCATTGTGCGCCTCCCCGCTCCAGTACCTAGTGGAATGACCGGATCTACAGCCTGTCTGTTCTGCCAGTCGAGCGCAGAAACTGGTTCCATAACGGTGGCAGTGAGACACCCAATGAATCGCTTTTAATGCCGGGATTCGCTTTCAGCCACTGCGCGAAGTCCAGTCCCAACGATAGCCAACTGTTCAGAAACCTATCATCGAAGTCGCGACTCGACTGGATGGCTCGAAACCTTCCCTCTAACTTTACTCTGAAGTCCTGGAGAGTAAGCTTTTTAAGTCCGGAGCACAGAATATCCCTTATCGCCCGCATCAATGTGTACCAGATTGTTTTACTTTTTAACAGGCCTATGACGTTGTTTTCACCGTCAACAAAGTAGAGAACCTTGCCCTCATAGCCATGTCCTTCTCTGACCTCCTGCATCACACGCGGCAGCTCGTTCATGACGTCGCCGGTCACCACCGAGTGTTCCACCGTCTTCATACCGAACATTTCGGCCAGCTCGAACCCCAGCTCCGGGGGACAGCCACAATAGGACATATCGCATCCAAGCGTCGGCGCCCAAGCAATGAAGTGCAGGGTATGCTCTACGAGTTTCGAGAGGTCCTCAATTGATTGGCGGTCGGGCTGCAGCAGCTCCATGACGGCCGTGAGGCGCGTGTGGTGCAGGAAGCTGAGCAGCAGCTGCCGCTGTCCCTCCCCCATCGCCTCCAGCAGCCGCCACACGGCCGCCGCCACCTCCCTGGCCACCCGGTACCGCTGGTCGGCGTACCGAGCGATGTCCGACTCCTGGCGCAGCACCATGTGCACGTTCTTGGAGCCGACACACACCAGGAAGGAGCCATCCACGTACCGCGCGCTCAGGTGCGCCGCCTCGCCGTTGGCCTTCTGCGTCAGCACGAGCCGCTCGGCGGCCTCCGGCGACCGCAGGAAGTAGCGGCGCCACGTCGAGTCGTCGCCGCCCGAGCAGTCGTCGTCCTCGTCACCCATACCGCCGGTGAACTTTTTGAGCGCGTGCGTGAGACACAAGAGTCGACCGTCGGGGAGTCGGAGGACGCAATTTCCGCGCGCCACCCGCCGACGGATTTCAGCGTTTCTGTTGTAGATCAGGTCATCGCGCTGTCGCCGCCGTCCCGTGCCGGTCGCAACTCTGACGTCACACAGCGTCGCACCGGGTATCACGGCTTCTGGCACGCTCAACTCGGTAACCTGGACGTCGGGGTGCGAGTGGCACCACGATATCCATTCCACTACATTCGCGTGCTCGGACGTTTCTCTGGAGAAAACATCAACGTCATCGAGTAGCTTTTTTAGCGAAAGGCCTTTGGCGATTCTCGTAACTAGAGCTGGTCTTAGCTCGCCGAGTCCTAGCAAAGGGCAGTTTGTTTGAGCCCTCATTTCTAGTTTCTCCGACTTGTTTGCTCAGGATTTGGAAGGTCCGTTGGCCCCCGCAGTACTGTCAGATTGCGTCTGGTTTATCCGTCAGCAGGGTGGCCTGCAAACAGCGAAAGATATACGTTTGTATAATTGCATGCAGATTGATATCAATCTCGTACATGCAGATTCCGGACCCTTTCAAATCGCCTCAAAATCGGCATGTAGACCAAACAGGACACGCTGATCACGAATCCGAAGTCCGTTCCGCGGCACATATGTAACTTTTCCCGTAATTGACGAATTACGGATCTGCATGCAGATTCCGGACCCTTTCAAATCGCCTCAAAATCGGCATGTAGACCAAACAGGGCACGCTGATCACGAATCCGAAGTCCGTTCCGCGGCACATATGAAACTTTTCCCGTAATTGACGAATTACGGATCTGCATGCAGATTCCGGACCCTTTCAAATCGCCTCAAAATCGGCATGTAGACCAAACAGGACACGCTGATCACGAACCTGAAGTCCGTTCCGCGGCACATATGAAACCTTTCCCGTAATTGACAAATTACGGATCTGCATGCAGATTCCGGACCCTTTCAAAACGCCTCAAAATCGGCATGTAGACCAAACAGGACACGCTGATCACGAATCCGAAGTCCGTTCCGTGGCACATATGAAACTTTTCCCGTAATTGACGAATTACGGATCTGCATGCAGATTCCGGACCCTTTCAAATCGCCTCAAAATCGGCATGTAGACCAAACAGGACACGCTGATCACGAATCTGAAGTCCGTTCCGCGGCACATATAAAACCTTTCCCGTAATTGACAAATTACGGATCTGCATGCAGATTCCGGACCCTTTCAAAACGCCTCAAAATCGGCATGTAGACCAAACAGGACACGCTGATCACGAATCCGAAGTCCGTTCCGCGGCACATATGAAACTTTTCCCGTAATTGACGAATTACGGATCTGCATGCAGATTCCGGACCCTTTCAAATCGCCTCAAAATCGGCATGTAGACCAAACAGGACACGCTGATCACGAATCCGAAGTCCGTTCCGCGGCACATATGAAACTTTTCCCGTAATTGACGAATTACGGATCTGCATGCAGATTCCGGACCCTTTCAAATTGCCTCAAAATTGGCATGTAGACCAAACAGGACACGCTGATCACGAATCTGAAGTCCGTTCCGCGGCACATATGAAACTTTTCCCGTAATTGACAAATTACGGATCTGCATGCAGATTCCGGACCCTTTCAAATCGCCTCAAAATCGGCATGTAGACCAAACAGGACACGCTGATCACGAATCTGAAATCCGTTCCGCGGCACATATGAAAGTTTTCCCGTAATTGACAAATTACGGATCTGCATGCAGATTCCGGACCCTGTCAAAGCGCCTCAAAATCGGCATGTAGACCAAACAGGACACGCTGATCACAAATCCGAAGTCCGTTCCGCGCACATATGAAACTTTTCCCGTAATTGACGAATTACGGATCTGCATGCAGATTCCGGACCCTTTCAAAACGCCTCAAAATCGGCATGTAGACCAAACAGGGCACGCTGATCACGACTCCGAAGTCCGTCCGTTTCCGATTTTGAGGCGATTTGAAAGGGTCCGGTATCTGCATGCAGATCCGTAATTCGTCAATTACGGGAAAAGTTTCATATGTGCCGCGGAACGGACTTCAGATTCGTGATCAGCGTGTCCTGTTTGGTCTACATGCCGATTTTGAGGCGTTTTGAAAGGGTCCGGAATCTGCATGCAGATCCGTAATTTGTCAATTACGGGAAAAGTTTCAGATGTGCCGCGGAACGGACTTCAGATTCGTGATCAGCGTGTCCTGTTTGGTCTACATGCCGATTTTGAGGCGATTTGAAAGGGTCCGGAATCTGCATGCAGATCCGTAATTTGTCAATTACAGGAAAAGTTTCAGATGTGCCGCGGAACGGACTTCGGATTCGTGATCACCGTGTCCTGTTTGGTCTACATGCCGATTTTGAGGCGATTTGAAAGGGTCCGGAATCTGCATGCAGATCCGTAATTCGTCAATTACGGGAAAAGTTTCATATGTGCCTCGGAACGGACTTCGGATTTGTCATCAGCGTGTCCTGTTTGGTCTACATGCCGATTTTGAGGCGATTTGAAAGGGTCCGGAATCTGCATGCCGATCCGTAATTCGTCAATTACGGGAAAAGTTTCATATGTGCCGCGGAACGGACTTCGGACTCGTGATCAGCGTGTCCTGTTTGGTCTACATGCCGATTTTGAGGCGTTTTGAAAGGGTCCGGAATCTGCATGCAGATCCGTAATTTGTCAATTACGGGAAAAGTTTCAGATGTGCCGCGGAACGGACTTCAGATTCGTGATCAGCGTGTCCTGTTTGGTCTACATGCCGATTTTGAGGCGATTTGAAAGGGTCCGGAATCGGCATGCAGATCCGTAATTCGTCAATTACGGAAAAGTTTCATATGTGCCGCGGAACGGACTTCAGATTCGTGATCAGCGTGTCCTGTTTGGTCTACATGCCGATTTTGAGGCGTTTTGAAAGAGTCCGGAATCTGCATGCAGATCCGTAATTTGTCAATTACGGGAAAAGTTTCAGATGTGCCGCGGAACGGACTTCAGATTCGTGATCAGCGTGTCCTGTTTGGTCTACATGCCGATTTTGAGGCGATTTGAAAGGGTCCGGAATCTGCATGCAGATCCGTAATTCGTCAATTACGGGAAAAGTTTCATATGTGCCGCGGAACGGACTTCAGATTCGTGATCAGCGTGTCCTGTTTGGTCTACATGCCAATTTTGAGGCGATTTGAAAGGGTCCGGAATCTGCATGTACGAGATTGATATCAATCTGCATGCAATTATACGAACGTGAAAGATATGACAGAAAACCGATGGAAAATGTTTTCTTTGAAAATATGCACAGCAGCTAGCCAGATCACGCACAGCCTAAGCCTGAATCGCCAGCCCCCAGCTTATCGACACATGAAAAGATGTCATCTTTTGTTATCCAAATCATACACATTACACATCAACACATTACACATTAAGCACACAAAAGGTGAGCAACAACAAACATATTTTAATTAGCCCATGAAACGGATGAGACTTGGAAACTTGATTTTCTGTCACTACCCAGAGCGCTACTAGTATCGGCTATTTCTTCGAGTAGAGTCTACGTCTCCAACTGCGATGGCTTGCGATGAACATTGAAAACATGGACGTAAAGAAAGGCAATGTTTCAAGATGACAATTCCATCGCTGAAAATGACAATTCTCTTTGAGAACAATGCACAAAAAAGGCAATGGCGGAAGAAATGTAGGGTAACTGTGGGGAAAACGCACCCCTGGGTTAAACGCCTCCCCTAAAAAAATCGTAGATCTTATCGGCGGATAGGTGTTTTATCCTGTCTTTCAGAACAGTCAGCTGCTTGTTTACGTAGTTCTCTATTTCCGGTTCTGCGTCTTGGGGAGCAGCGTGGGTAGGTGCTGATGTTGGTTTTGGGTGTTGTTTTTGTTGTTTTTACAGAAGATTCCTAAGCTTTTGATGCCCTCTTTATTTCACAAAACTTGCTATTGTGCACATCACTCAAAACTGCGTTTTATTGTCATTCTGTTGAATTTATTATGCTGTGGCGTTAGTGGCGCGTTTTTTGTCAATATTTTGTTGACCGGAAATGGAGTGGATGGGGAAAGACGCCTACTCGATGCATGGGGCAAGACGCCCCTAGTTTTCTGAAAGGGGGGCGTTTTGCACGGTGGTGAGAGTGCAGGGTAGCGCCCTATAGGTCGGGGCCGAAAAGGCCTCTCCCTGTCCTTTTTTGCTGATACATCCTAAACGACTGCAGATATCGTCACCAAACTTTCAGGACTCCTCCGGGCATCCATTTTACACATTGCAACAACATTTTATTCCAAAGGCTATGATAGGTTGACCACAAATGACGTCAGAATGACGTCAAGTTGTGCCATGTTCATCATTTTCTCTGTTGATGGATGGGGTGGGGGCGCTTTGCACATGGGTGTGGGCGTATTACCCAGGGTGTGGGGCAAAACGCCCTTTTTGTAAGGGTATGCGGAAACCTTTTTTGGGGGTTAAATACAACACGCAAGTGTCTTTTCTTGGTCTCAAAGCGTAGTAAAAAGAATGAGCTACATGATGGTGCCCAAAGGTTTGAGTAATCTGGGTTGGGTTGAGTGTCAGAAGGTTTCGCGCTTACTGGGGGCGTTTTTGACCTATTCACCCTAATACTGGAACGAGCAGCACCATGGCATAACAAAACAAATAGATACGAGTAAAAACCACACACACACAAGCTACAGTATTTTGGATAAAAGTTGAATAGAAAGCAAATTATTGTTCTGGACATCTGATCAAGGTGTGCTAATCTTTATGAATAATACTTAAACAGCTGATGGCAATCTACACACGGACCGATTTCGATGTTCAGTCAGTGATAGTGTTAGGTACATGGCGCTAAATCTCCTTGCCGAGTATAACTAAACTCAGTCGCTCAGTACCTACCTACTTATAACTTACTCTCGAAGGAATGTGATGACAATGTCATTCATGCTGAATGCTCTGGTTTTAACCCGCGCCCCAGTGACGGTCTCAGCCAACTTCGCCCTAGTGGGGGGGGGGGGGGGATCTGTTACCACCCACCTCTAACTCAAAAACTAAGACGGGTAGAAAGACGCGGTAAAAAGCAGTCGATAGCTGTCAATGCGTACGTTTGAAAGTATTTCGGTCATTTTTCATCTTAGAGCAATGCCTGTTGGGGTCACTCGAGGTCATCAGAGGTCAAAATTTGCCAAATGTCATTTTTCAGAAAACATGCATTTATCTCAGGGACTATGATTGCTAGAAAAACGCATGGAAACTCAATCGATAGCTTTTGAACTCTTCTTTTGATAAGATCATCATCAAAATTGACCTCAGGTCAACGGTTTAGCCCCCAGAAGGCAAAAACTCCAAAAATAGTTGTTTTTATGAAAAGTATTTTTCGACAATAGCTTTTGACTAAAAGCCACGACATTTCTATTGGCAGAATCGTGTTCCTCTCGCCGAGACGCGTCGATTTAGAAAAAAAAAAAATTTAGTCCGAATGGTTGAATGGGTGGCTTTGAGGAATCAGAGCCCGCACTAAGCATAGCTTGTTGTGCTGACCCTGCCCCCCCCCCCCACCCCCCACCCGATCGCGCAATTCCAGTTGTATGGCAGAATTTAGTCCGAACGTTTAACGTGCCCTCACGACTGGACACGGCCCCCTCCGCTCACTCACGTTACCTGGCCTCTGTGCGGCCCCTGCCACAGACACGCACGCCACTAAACGTAGGAGCTAAATGTGGCCGCCCGCACCGGGGCTTGAACCAGGCTCTCACCACCGGCTAAGCGTCGAATTCCGGCGCTTGTATCCACTCGGCCACGAAGGGGAATTAAACTATATGAACTATAATTTGACCTTGAAAGGTCAACTTGAAAATTTGACCTCAGGTCAAGGTCATGACCTGAACGGAAAAGGTCATGTCGCATATCAGTTGATGCGTCTCAACAAGACAAACACAATGAGGCCATCCCCAGCGTCCTATCTCTTTCCAATCGAGAGTTATTGGAAAAAATCTGTTTGTAGCCTCAAATGACCTCTGATGACCTTTCTAGAGGCCACCAGCAAAAAAGACACCTTGGTCGTCACGGCTGGTCCAAATCATTGTGATTCTGAAATATTTGGACTGTTCCTATGCGTACACACGGATCTAGAGGCATTTTCATTTTTTCTCCATTGACTTATAATGGTAAGGTGACGCCACTGGCCTGACCTTAGCGACCCGGATATAAAAAATCCGAGATATACAAATTGTACGCGCCCATAACATCATGCAATCCAAGTTTAAACATTTCTGACAAGCACTGCAGGCTGGACATGATTGCAAACTTTTTTAGGCTTGGTCAGTTAACTTGACCTAGTGACCTGACCTGACATGACCTGGGGTCAAAAATTTCACACATTGTCCAAAATTGATGTAAGAATAGCTACTCCAAGCGGCGCGGTGCGGTTTTTATTTACACGCAAAAAACACGACAGGGTGGAAACATATGCCCCCCCCCCACTGGGGCGAAGGTTAACTATGCAGTTCAAAAGCTAGTATTCGCAAATCGCAGTGGACCGAGCCGCAAGGCACAGCCCAAAGGCACAAGGTCCTTAACTTTTATTGCCCTTAAAATGCTTAGCATGAATATGTGGAGGAAGCCAAGTCTTAAATTCAAGAAAATGTACATTATTCACTCTTCACAACACTCGAATTTTCCAATCGTCAACAACAAAAGTACGAACAAAAACTACAAAAAACGGCACCTCTACAACAACGGTACAAAAAATGACTGAAAGTGCATTGTCGAGTCCACGACTGACGACCATCTTTATGGTTATCATCTAGTGGCGCCACCCAAATGGATGAATTGACACGCACGTCGTAAGCGTGATCCTATGACCCACAAGCACAAAAATCACTAGAATCTCAAGTCGTGATGCTGATATCGTACTTGTCACTTTCGCGGCACTCACGAAGGAACTTAGTCCAGAGCGGAGGCATTGTGGTCCGTAACTCACCGTAATCCGTGTCGGGGCCGTTTTTTAGCCACTCTGCGAACTTGAATGACAACGTAAGCCAGTTCTGGAGAAATTCATCATCAAAGCATAGCCAAGCCTGTATTTCACGGAACCTTTTCTTGATGCCTTCCTTCAGTTCCTTAAAGCTTTGCTTTTTGAGACCATAACTCAACTTTTCTCTGAGTGCCCGCAGAAGAATGTACCATACTGTCTTTTTCTTTAATACACCAACTACTTTGCCGTTGCCATCCACAAAGTAGAGGACCTTGCCCTCATAGCCATGTCCTTCTCTGACCTCCTGCATCACACGCGGCAGCTCGTTCATGACGTCGCCGATCACCACCGAGTGTTCCACCGTCTTCATACCGAGCATTTCGGCCAGCTCGAACCCCAGCTCCGGGGTGACGCCGCAATACGACTCAAAGTCATCCCCCAGCGTCCCAGTCCAGGTAATGAAGCGCAGCTCAGCCACCTTCAGGTGCGAGAGATCCACCACGTGCTGGTGGTCGGGCTGCAGTAGCTCCATGACGGCCGTGAGGCGCGTGTGGTGCAGGAAGCTGAGCAGCAGCTGCCGCTGTCCCTCCCCCATCGCCTCCAGCAGCCGCCACACGGCCGCCGCCACCTCCCTGGCCACCCGGTACCGCTGGTCGGCGTACCGAGCGATGTCCGACTCCTGGCGCAGCACCATGTGCACATTTTTGGAGCCGACACACACCAGGAAGGAGCCATCCACGTACCGCGCGCTCAGGTGCGCCGCCTCGCCGTTGGCCTTCTGCGTCAGCACGAGCCGCTCGGCGGCCTCCGGCGACCGCAGGAAGTAGCGGCGCCATGTCGAGTCGTCGCCGCCCGAGAGGTCGTCGTCCTCGTCACCCATACCGCCGGTGAACTTTTTGAGCGCGTGCGTGAGACACAGGAGTCGACCGTCGGGGAGTCGGAGAACGCAATTTCCGCGCGCCACCTGACGACGTATCTCGGCGCTTCTGTTGTAGATTGTATCGTCTGGCTTCCGATGTCGGCCCGCAGTGCCAACTTTGACATCGATCAACTGTGCCCCAGAGAGAATCGACTGTGGGACTGAGCCCTCTACACACCGGAGGACGGAGCTGTTTGATTTACACCAGTCTAACCATTTCCGTACAATCTGGTTCTCATCTTTGCTGGATTGGACAAATAGATGCTTTAACTCTTTACGAAGGATGTCTTCAGAATACCTTGATAAAAAATGGCTTCTTACTTCAATACATTTCAACAACTCAATACCGTTTACACTTAAAGATGGCATTCTCTTAATGCACAGGAAACTAGCCTGAAAAAAATATGGGGCATATAATGACAGTGGCATAAAATATTGTGATGGGACATGCAGCACGCATATTGTGTGTGGTATATGTAGGTACGCATATTAAAACTGACATATTTAAAAAATGGCATGCGATCTTTGTGAAGAAGAGAATGGTGTTCGATTCACCCGTGAATGAATCGATTGGATTGAATCAAACACAAAAGTTGCTGAATCGAAAAGAGGTTTGATTCACCGTAACTCACGTCAGGATTGTTCGATTCACAGGCCACGATTGAATCGAACGCATTGGAAATCTGGGTTGATGGAATAAAAAATTAACGATTCATGAACTTAAAAAAATATTGATGTGAACATAGTCTATTATCAACAAATCCCAGTAAACATGCCGTCGCCGACGTCGGCCCAACGTCGGTAAACATCGGGGTGACGTCGGCATCTCAGCATCGGCATGCCGACGTCGGTCCAACCTCGGCCCGACGTCGGCTGGACGTCGGGTAAGTCCGCATATACCGACGTCCAGCCGAGGTCCTGCCGAAGTCGGGCCAAGATCGTTTGCCGAGGTCCAGCCGACGTCGGGCCGAGATCGTTTGCCGAGGTTGAACCGAGATGACGTCGGACCGACGTCGGCCGCTTTCCTGAGTGTTAACCCGAGCCCTGCTGCCCTGACTCTTTTGGCCAAACAAACCCTTTTCACTTCTCAGAGCCACAAGGACAACAGGAATAAAGGGGAGGCATTGGTCTGGGACTTGGGAGGGCACTGTGGTGATTCGGTGTTCGTTGGGGCAGAAGCTATCCAGTGGACATGCCACCCACTACCCAGGGCCCTGTTAACATGTCTACAGCCGCCGCGGCTCCAGCGATAAAAAGGCGGGCTTAGCTAGCGGCGAAGCAAGCGACTCACAGACGGCAGTTCCTGGCCATTTGTTTGTCGCCTGATTGGCCGCCAGCTAAGCCCAGATTTTTTACTGCTGGAGCTGCTTTGACCGCAGTGCACTTGAACAGGGGCCAGGCCCCAGCCACGGGCCTGCTTCTGGGATGGAGCAGCCCTCATGAGTCATGGGTTAAAGTTGCTTGTCCAGCCCAGGACGCGTTGGAGGCTTGAATGATTTGATTAACCTGAGGATGGAATCAATGGAACAGAGACCAATACCACAGATCACCTGCAGTTTATATACTAAAATACCTAATTCAACAGAAAAGAAGATTGTCAATGCCCAGCTTTCTGTTGCTTTCAACAAACAATGCAATGAAGTCCATTGACCCTCCCACCTTCAAAAAAGTTGATGAATTGCCATAAAAGTGATGCACCATGGTTCAGAAAGAGCAATAATAAACATGTACAAATTTAACTGATTTTTTCCCCACTGGTTTTTACTTTCTTAGAAATTAGACTTTTACTTTTTGTAGGGTGATGCACATGGTACTCCTGATAGTCAGTGTCCCAAAATTTTCCAGTTTGGGTGGGAAGTGACATCCAAATCAAAATAGTTTTCCACTCTCACCTCCATTTTCCAGAGCATTTTTTTTCACTCCCTATATAACCATCTGCATATACCTTTTACCTCCCTCCACATTCGATTTAATTATCTTATAAGCAGCCCCCACATACTCCAACATTCACAAATAAATTGTTGATCCCTGTTTACTGCCCTTTTTTGTGCCATTCTGACTAGCAATTTTCCACTCTCAGCCCTCTTTTTAGTGATGAATATTCCCCTCTGACACCCTGGCCAAAATATAATTTTGGGACACTGCCTGATACTGTCCTGACACCCTTTCTCTACCGCAGAGGCCAGTATCATTTGTTGTGATTGTAGGTAATAAAGATGTGAACAAAGTACAAAAAGGCCAGTATCACGATCAACACCTTCATTTGTTGGGGCCTCCACTCTTCCTATGACATCATTTGGAAGCAATAGTTTGGAATAACAAGTGAGGCAGTCATTGCATACAAGTAGTTACCACCATGACAGCAGCAGCAAGGTTTTATAATAAAGTTTAAAAAAAGCTAGATCTGTGCTGACATCAACATCATAAAGTATAAGGGGGCATTGAAATGCATTAGCCCCATAGAATCTGAGAACTGCAGACTTTGAAATTAAATGTCTCAGAATTAAAGCATTCCTCAAGTCAACATTGTGGATGCCCAAACCAGTAAGTGCAAGCCAGGGACCACAAGTTGGCTATCTCAACTCAAAATTAATGTTGAGGTGGGATGGTCAGTTCAAACATAATACTTAATACAAATACACATCCTTATTGTTTTTACCTGCGGCAATACTTCAGTTTTTCACAATTGCAACTGAACCCCTAACCATTTAAAGGGACCCTCCCACCTTCAAAAAAGTTAATGAATTGGCATGAAAGTGATGTCGCTCGGTTCAGAAAGAGCAAAAACGAATATCTACCAAATTTCATCGAAAAATATTCACCGGTTTTCAAGATATTAGTCTTTTACTTTTGTTTACTTTTTGGGATCTCCGCTGTTCCTAGCGACTTTATCTGAAAGTGCGGCATTTGTTGCGCTCAAAGCAGCATATACCACCGCCTGCAACAAAACGTTTGAGTCAAACATTTAAAAATCGTTAGATATCTGCGCTGACGTCATACATTCAGAGGGGTATTCCTATGCATTAGCCCCTCTGAATCAAAATGCTGCAATTTTGAAATTCAATATTTCCGATTTAAGGCATTTCTCGATGTTGTGAGTGCCGAAACCGGTGATTGTGAGCCAGGGACCCCATTTTGGCTATCTCAACTCAAATCTAATGTTAAGGTAGGAGGGTCCCTTTAAACTCTGCTGCGCAAAGGCAAAAACAATTTGTCTGGTTAGAGGTCATCATGTCAGGTCAAAGCCAAAGGTCACCAGAACGTAATGATCTTTGCCTTTGCACGGCAGAATGAGAACGGAGCAGGCAGAATGAGAACTGAGCACGGACCGCAGTCCAATATATGCACATCAATAGTCAGGCAATTATTGCACCACCTTATGTGAAAACCAACAATTCATGGATTTGATGCAAGCAAACTTAATATCCACATACCTGTAAATCCATATAGCATGAACAAGTCTAAAAATGAAAAAAAAAATGAAAAATAAAAATCTATATGTTGGTGTGGATGAAAGTTGAAACGCAGTCCAAGTATGTAACGGAAGTTAGCCCACATTCAGCCCACATTCGGCCCAGCCCAGATTGGGGCTGCCAGATCTAGGGAAAAATATAGAAATCTAGGGAAAAATCTAGAAATCTAGCGAAAAATCTAAAAACCGTTTTACGCCTAAACGGCTGGACGAAACTGAAAAATAAGACCACCATTTGAAAGATCTCTTCACCCCGGACCTAATGATATGGTTAAATACCGGATCAATTTAACCAAAAGCATGATTTAACCAGGATGAAAATTGTCGGTCAATGGGGCGGCCCCTACGATTTTCTTCAAAATCGGCATGGTGATACTACAGGCCCAGATGACCAATCTGGCTGAAGAAACCCCTATGGGCATTGAAATCTATGGGGTAAAAACGCCCTTGGAAAGTTTTACCCACGCATTTCTGGCAAGACTATCGCACGCATCCCCCAAATATGGGTATCATATGAAAGCCCATGAAAACCCAAACAAAATGGTGGGGTAAAATTTACCCATTACCCCATCCAGGGTAAAGTTTACCCAAGATGAAAATTTTCGGTCAATGGGGCGGCCCCTACGATTTTCTTCAAAATCGGCATGGTGATACTACAGGCCCAGATGACCAATCTGGCTGAAGAAACCCCTATGGGCATTGAAATCTATGGGGTAAAAACGCCCTTGGAAAGTTTTACCCACACATTTCTGGCAAAACTATCGCACGCATCCCCCCAATATGGGTATCATATGAAAGCTCATTAAAACCCAAACAAAATGGTTGGGTAAAATTTACCCATTACCCCATCCAGGGTAAAGTTTACCCAAGATGAAAATTTTCGGTCAATGGGGCGGCCCCTACGATTTTCTTCAAAATCGGCATGGTGATACTACAGGCCCAGATGACCAATCTGGCTGAAGAAACCCCTATGGGCATTGAAATCTATGGGGTAAAAACGCCCTTGGAAAGTTTTACCCACGCATTTCTGGCAAGACTATCGCACGCATCCCCCCAATATGGGTATCATATGAAAGCCCATGAAAACCCAAACAAAATGGTGGGGTAAAATTTACCCATTACCCCATCCAGGGTAAAGTTTACCCAAGATGAAAATTTTCGGTCAATGGGGCGGCCCCTACGATTTTCTTCAAAATCGGCATGGTGATACTACAGGCCGAGATGACCAATCTGGCTGAAGAAACCCCTATGGGCATTGAAATCTATGGGGTAAAAACGCCCTTGGAAAGTTTTACCCACGCATTTCTGGCAAGACTATCGCACGCATCCCCCAATATGGGTATCATATGAAAGCTCATGAAAACCCAAACAAAATGGTGGGGTAAAATTTACCCATTACCCCATCCAGGGTAAAGTTTACCCAAGATGAAAATTTTCGGTCAATAGGGCGGCCCCTACGATTTTCTTCAAAATCGGCATGGTGATACTACAGGCCCAGATGACCAATCTGGCTGAAGAAACCCCTATGGGCATTGAAATCTATGGGGTAAAAACGCCCTTGGAAAGTTTTACCCACGCATTTCTGGCAAGACTATCGCACGCATCCCCCCAATATGGGTATCATATGAAAGCCCATAAAAACCCAAACAAAATGGTTGAGTAAAATTTACCCATTACCCCATCCAGGGTAAAGTTTACCCAAGATGAAAATTTTCGGTCAATGGGGCGGCCCCTACGATTTTCTTCAAAATCGGCATGGTGATACTACAGGCCCAGATGACCAATCTGGCTGAAGAAACCCCTATGGGCATTGAAATCTATGGGGTAAAAACAACCTTGGAAAGTTTTACCCACGCATTTCTGGCAAGACTATCGCACGAATCCCCCAATATGGGTATCATATGAAAGCTCATGAAAACCCAAACAAAACGGTGGGGTAAAATTTACCCATTACCCCATCCAGGGTAAAGTTTACCCAAGATGAAAATTTTCGGTCAATGGGGCGGCCCCTACGATTTTCTTCAAAATCGGCATGGTGATACTACAGGGCCAGATGACCAATCTGGCTGAAGAAACCCCTATGGGCATTAAAATCTATGGGGTAAAAACGCCCTTGGAAAGTTTTACCCACGCATTTCTGGCAAGACTATCGCACGCATCCCCCCAATATGGGTATCATATGAAAGCCCATGAAAACCCAAACAAAATGGTGGGGTAAAATTTACCCATTACCCCATCCAGGGTAAAGTTTACCCAAGATGAAAATTTTCGGTCAATGGGGCGGCCCCTACGATTTTCTTCAAAATCGGCATGGTGATACTACAGGCCCAGATGACCAATCTGGCTGAAGAAACCCCTATGGGCATTGAAATCTATGGGGTAAAAACGCCCTTGGAAAGTTTTACCCACGCATTTCTGGCAAGACTATCGCACGCATCCCCCCAATATGTGTATCATATGAAAGCTCATGAAAACCCAAACAAAATGGTGGGGTAAAATTTACCCACTACCCCATCCAGGGTAAAGTTTACCCAAGATGAAAATTTTCGGTCAATGGGGGCGGCCCCTACGATTTTCTTCAAAATCGGCATGGTGATACTACAGGCCCAGATGACCAATCTGGCTGAAGAAACCCCTATGGGCATTGAAATCTATGGGGTAAAAACGCCCTTGGAAAGTTTTACCCACGCATTTCTGGCAAGACTATCGCACGCATCCCCCCAATATGGGTATCATATGAAAGCCCATAAAAACCCAAACAAAATGGTTGAGTAAAATTTACCCATTACCCCATCCAGGGTAAAGTTTACCCAAGATGAAAATTTTCGGTCAATGGGGCGGCCCCTACGATTTTCTTCAAAATCGGCATGGTGATACTACAGGCCCAGATGACCAATCTGGCTGAAGAAACCCCTATGGGCATTGAAATCTATGGGGTAAAAACGCCCTTGGAAAGTTTTACCCACGCATTTCTGGCAAGACTATCGCACGCATCCCCCCAATATGGGTATCATATGAAAGCCCATGAAAACCCAAACAAAATGGTGGGGTAAAATTTACCCATTACCCCATCCAGGGTAAAGTTTACCCAAGATGAAAATTTTCGGTCAATGGGGCGGCCCCTACGATTTTCTTCAAAATCGGCATGGTGATACTACAGGCCCAGATGACCAATCTGGCTGAAGAAACCCCTATGGGCATTGAAATCTATGGGGTAAAAACGCCCTTGGAAAGTTTTACCCACACATTTCTGGCAAAACTATCGCACGCATCCCCCCAATATGGGTATCATATGAAAGCTCATGAAAACCCAAACAAAATGGTTGGGTAAAATTTACCCATTACCCCATCCAGGGTAAAGTTTACCCAAGATGAAAATTTTCGGTCAATGGGGCGGCCCCTACGATTTTCTTCAAAATCGGCATGGTGATACTACAGGGCCAGATGACCAATCTGGCTGAAGAAACCCCTATGGGCATTGAAATCTATGGGGTAAAAACGCCCTTGGAAAGTTTTACCCACGCATTTCTGGCAAGACTATCGCACGCATCCCCCAATATGGGTATCATATGAAAGCTCATGAAAACCCAAACAAAATGGTGGGGTAAAATTTACCCATTACCCCATCCAGGGTAAAGTTTACCCAAGATGAAAATTTTCGGTCAATGGGGCGGCCCCTACGATTTTCTTCAAAATCGGCATGGTGATACTACAGGCCCAGATGACCAATCTGGCTGAAGAAACCCCTATGGGCATTGAAATCTATGGGGTAAAAACGCCCTTGGAAAGTTTTACCCACGCATTTCTGGCAAGACTATCGCACGCATCCCCCCAATATGGGTATCATATGAAAGCCCATAAAAACCCAAACAAAATGGTTGAGTAAAATTTACCCATTACCCCATCCAGGGTAAAGTTTACCCAAGATGAAAATTTTCGGTCAATGGGGCGGCCCCTACGATTTTCTTCAAAATCGGCATGGTGATACTACAGGCCCAGATGACCAATCTGGCTGAAGAAACCCCTATGGGCATTGAAATCTATGGGGTAAAAACGCCCTTGGAAAGTTTTACCCACGCATTTCTGGCAAGACTATCGCACGAATCCCCCCAATATGGGTATCATATGAAAGCTCATGAAAACCCAAACAAAACGGTGGGGTAAAATTTACCCATTACCCCATCCAGGGTAAAGTTTACCCAAGATGAAAATTTTCGGTCAATGGGGCGGCCCCTACGATTTTCTTCAAAATCGGCATGGTGATACTACAGGCCCAGATGACCAATCTGGCTGAAGAAACCCCTATGGGCATTGAAATCTATGGGGTAAAAACGCCCTTGGAAAGTTTTACCCACACATTTCTGGCAAAACTATCGCACGCATCCCCCCAATATGGGTATCATATGAAAGCTCATGAAAACCCAAACAAAATGGTTGGGTAAAATTTACCCATTACCCCATCCAGGGTAAAGTTTACCCAAGATGAAAATTTTCGGTCAATGGGGCGGCCCCTACGATTTTCTTCAAAATCGGCATGGTGATACTACAGGGCCAGATGACCAATCTGGCTGAAGAAACCCCTATGGGCATTAAAATCTATGGGGTAAAAACGCCCTTGGAAAGTTTTACCCACGCATTTCTGGCAAGACTATCGCACGCATCCCCCCAATATGGGTATCATATGAAAGCCCATGAAAACCCAAACAAAATGGTGGGGTAAAATTTACCCATTACCCCATCCAGGGTAAAGTTTACCCAAGATGAAAATTTTCGTTCAATGGGGCGGCCCCTACGATTTTCTTCAAAATCGGCATGGTGATACTACAGGCCCAGATGACCAATCTGGCTGAAGAAACCCCTATGGGCATTGAAATCTATGGGGTAAAAACGCCCTTGGAAAGTTTTACCCACGCATTTCTGGCAAGACTATCGCACGCATCCCCCCAATATGGGTATCATATGAAAGCCCATAAAAACCCAAACAAAATGTTTGAGTAAAATTTACCCATTACCCCATCCAGGGTAAAGTTTACCCAAGATGAAAATTTTCGGTCAATGGGGCGGCCCCTACGATTTTCTTCAAAATCGGCATGGTGATACTACAGGCCCAGATGACCAATCTGGCTGAAGAAACCCCTATGGGCATTGAAATCTATGGGGTAAAAACGCCCTTGGAAAGTTTTACCCAAGCATTTCTGGCAAGACTATCGCACGCATCCCCCCAATATGGGTATCATATGAAAGCTCATGAAAACCCAAACAAAATGGTGGGGTAAAATTTACCCATTACCCCATCCAGGGTAAAGTTTACCCAAGATGAAAATTTTCGGTCAATGGGGCGGCCCCTACGATTTTCTTCAAAATCGGCATGGTGATACTACAGGCCCAGATGACCAATCTGGCTGAAGAAACCCCTATGGGCATTGAAATCTATGGGGTAAAAACGCCCTTGGAAAATTTTACCCACGCATTTCTGGCAAGACTATCGCACGCATCCCCCCAATATGGGTATCATATGAAAGCCCATAAAACCCAAACAAAATGGTGGGGTAAAATTTACCCATTACCCCATCCAGGGTAAAGTTTACCCAAGATGAAAGATTTCGGTCAATGGGGCGGCCCCTACGATTTTCTTCAAAATCGGCATGGTGATACTACAGGCCCAGATGACCAATCTGGCTGAAGAAACCCCTATGGGCATTGAAATCTATGGGGTAAAAACGCCCTTGGAAAGTTTTACCCACGCATTTCTGGCAAGACTATCGCACGCATCCCCCCAATATGGGTATCATATGAAAGCCCATGAAAACCCATGAAAATTTTCATCTTGGGTAAACTTTACCCTGGATGGGGTAATGGGTAAATTTTACCCCACCATTTTGTTTGGGTTTTCATGAGCTTTCATATGATACCCATATTGGGGGGATGCGTGCGATAGTCTTGCCAGAAATGCGTGGGTAAAACTTTCCAAGGGCGTTTTTACCCCATAGATTTCAATGCCCATAGGGGTTTCTTCAGCCAGATTGGTCATCTGGGCCTGTAGTATCACCATGCCGATTTTGAAGAAAATCGTAGGGGCCGCCCCATTGACCGAAAATTTTCATCTTGGGTAAACTTTACCCTGGATGGGGTAATGGGTAAATTTTACCCCACCATTTTGTTTGGGTTTTCATGAGCTTTCATATGATACCCATATTGGGGGGATGCGTGCGATAGTCTTGCCAGAAATGTGTGGGTAAAACTTTCCAAGGGCGTTTTTACCCCATAGATTTCAATGCCCATAGGGGTTTCTTCAGCCAGATTGGTCATCTGGGCCTGTAGTATCACCATGCCGATTTTGAAGAAAATCGTAGGGGCCGCCCCATTGACCGAAAATTTTCATCTTGGGTAAACTTTACCCTGGATGGGGTAATGGGTAAATTTTACCCCACCATTTTGTTTGGGTTTTCATGAGCTTTCATATGATACCCATATTGGGGGGATTCGTGCGATAGTCTTGCCAGAAATGCGTGGGTAAAACTTTCCAAGGGCGTTTTTACCCCATAGATTTCAATGCCCATAGGGGTTTCTTCAGCCAGATTGGTCATCTGGGCCTGTAGTATCACCATGCCGATTTTGAAGAAAATCGTAGGGGCCGCCCCATTGACCGAAAATTTTCATCTTGGGTAAACTTTACCCTGGATGGGGTAATGGGTAAATTTAACCCCACCATTTTGTTTGGGTTTTCATGAGCTTTCATATGATACCCATATTGGGGGGATGCGTGCGATAGTCTTGCCAGAAATGCGTGGGTAAAACTTTCCAAGGGCGTTTTTACCCCATAGATTTCAATGCCCATAGGGATTTCTTCAGCCAGATTGGTCATCTGGGCCTGTAGTATCACCATGCCGATTTTGAAGAAAATCATAGGGGCCGCCCCATTGACCGAAAATTTTCATCTTGGGTAAACTTTACCCTGGATGCGGTAATGGGTAAATTTTACCCCACCATTTTGTTTGGGTTTTCATGAGCTTTCATATGATACCCATATTGGGGGGATGCGTGCGATAGTCTTGCCAGAAATGCGTGGGTAAAACTTTCCAAGGGCGTTTTTACCCCATAGATTTCAATGCCCATAGGGGTTTCTTCAGCCAGATTGGTCATCTGGGCCTGTAGTATCACCATGCCGATTTTGAAGAAAATCGTAGGGGCCGCCCCATTGACCGAAAATTTTCATCTTGGGTAAACTTTACCCTGGATGGGGTAATGGGTAAATTTTACCCCACCATTTTGTTTGGGTTTTCATGAGCTTTCATATGATACCCATATTGGGGGGGGATGCGTGCGATAGTCTTGCCAGAAATGCGTGGGTAAAACTTTCCAAGGGCGTTTTTACCCCATAGATTTCAATGCCCATAGGGGTTTCTTCGGCCAGATTGGTCATCTGGGCCTGTAGTATCACCATGCCGATTTTGAAGAAAATCGTAGGGGCCGCCCCATTGACCGAAAATTTTCATCTTGGGTAAACTTTACCCTGGATGTGGTAATGGATAAATTTAACCCCACCATTTTGTTTGGGTTTTTATGGGCTTTCATATGATACCCATATTGGGGGGATGCGTGCGATAGTCTTGCCAGAAATGCGTGGGTAAAACTTTCCAAGGGCGTTTTTACCCCATAGATTTCAATGCCCATAGGGGTTTCTTCAGCCAGATTGGTCATCTGGGCCTGTAGTATCACCATGCCGATTTTGAAGAAAATCGTAGGGGCCGCCCCATTGACCGAAAATTTTCATCCTGGTTAAATCATGCTTTTGGTTAAATTGATCCGGTATTTAACCATATCATTAGGTCCGGGGTGAAGAGATATTTCAAATGGTGGCCTTATTTTTCAGTTTCGCTCAGCCATTTAGGCGTAAAACGGTTTTTAGATTTTTCCCTAGGTTTTTAGATTTTTCCCTAGATTTGGCAGCCCCAATCTGGGCTGGGCCGAATGTGGGCTGAATGTGGGCTAACTTCCGTTACATAGTCCAAGTTTACCCCGCGTTCCACGGTCATAGAATACTACCGCGTTCGGTGTCTCTCGGACGACGAAGATTCTACGTCGTCTGGCCAATCCCGTCCAAGGTCAGCGGGGGCTTGGCTGCGGTTATGGAGCGTGATTGGCCGGACGGCGTAGAATCTTCGTCGTCCGAGAGACATCGAACGCGGGGTTAATCTATACCCTATCAATAGCCAGTCACTTTATGCTATATCTGTTGCACCACCTTATGCTATATTTGATGCATGCAAACATAAGATCAACAAACCTGTATTGTGCCTGTATCCTGTATCATCAACGAATCATGAAAAAAGTCGAGTAAATGTTATTTTGGGTGATTTTGGGGTGATTTCACCTTGATTTCACCCCAAAATGATTTAGGGGAGAGTTTTAAAATCTAAGCTGCATTGCGGCATTTGCGGTAATATGCGGCGTGTATGCCGCAATGTTTGTAAACTGCGACCACTAAATTAAAAACAAATCATATTCATTGATTTGCTATAATAATAATAATAATAATAATAATAATAGCATTTAATATATAAATAATAATAGCTATTCCCTCGAAGAACGTTTATAAGCCAATAGTCTGACATAATCAAAACTTATGGTATTCATCTTTATGATGTTATCTTTTATTTTCTGTAACTGCTTTCTTATATACCATTTCAGAGATATCGAACTTCCTTTTGAATGAATAACACTTCATGCCTGAAGTCCTCTCGTTATAAGATTCTCAGGTTGAAATTTACAGTAAATAAATCATAATATAGATTTACGTTCACCACAACCTTATTTTTTTTTCCTACAACGGGACAAAGGAAGACTCAGCCGACTACAGCGGGACAATGGGTTTCAGCCGGCTCCAGCGGGACAAAGTCGGACTCAGATGGTGGGACAAAGTGGAATTCAGCCGGTCCCAGCGGGACACAATGGGATTCGCCCGGTCCCAGCGGGACACAATGGGACTCCGTCACTCGTAAGGTCCCAGCGGGACTTAGTGGGACTCAGTCGACTACTGCGGGACATAGTGGGACTCAGCGGGTTTAGCGGGACAATTACAGCCACGGAACGTTTCAGCGTTCGCAGTTCGCTAGGCTAAGTTTTCATGGAATCGTAAGCAAATTCGCTTATGTAAAAACAAAGTCCCTGACTGAACCTGACTGATCTTCTGACCGGACAAGAAACTATTTGATGTGGTTCCCGAACTCAGGAACCTTTATTTGCCACAAAACACTCAACAGTCGCCCAGATCAGTCTCACGGAGACTGGAGAGCCAGGCGGCACCGGCATTCCCACTAATTCCTATAGAGTCCAAAATAAAACGTTGAAACAGCAGTATGTGCCAGCATGTAGCTGGATGCTCGTTATAAAACACGTGGCTGTACGGTTGGGCACCACAATAGTCAGCCCCGCTTTTGCTACCGTAGTGGTGGCGCACGTACATACATATTATTCACTGGTTACAGATCGGCATTTGATCGTGATTGGCTATCAGGGTTCAGCAGCTGGACCGAGACAATCAGAGTTGCACACTTCTCTGATTTAACCCTACGAATGATACGCAATCCCCGCGCGATAAAGCACAGTGACAATGTAAATAAGGACAAATTACGGCCTGCAGCATCCATATAGCGCATACACATACATTACAAATATACCTATATGCAATTTATATGAAAGTGAGCTACCTGCTGAATCTACTGGTCTAGATAAAATGGCCTTTTCAAACACATCTGGAACAATTATACACATTGCAGAACTCAAGCAGCAACGGATAACTGGTCCGACAAAGCTCAATCGCTACGCACGACGATGGAAATCCCAAGCAGTGAAATGTCACCGAAATGAAGTCGGGTGGTGTTTTCATAGGACACAACTGCCGTGTAAGCTTATTTAATCAAAGGTTTTCGTGAAATCATTTACAATCGTTCGTTTCGGTTATAGCTCAAATTCAAAAGCTGCTAAATTCAACAGGGCGTCCATCTTGCATTTGACGAAAAATGTCTAGCAGATAACAAAATTGATAGTTGAGCTTCAGATAGTTGAGGTGTAAAATGTGAGCTATTTGAGCGAAATGCGCATAAACATAAGACGGAATGTGTTCAAGGAATTATCCACATCGGAGTAACGAGCGAGTTCAAAAAGCCAAGATGAGGCGAAATCGTGATGCCCGGGATGTGTTATGGAATTGGGCTCCTTTCAGCACGGGACACAATAAAACATCCTGGGCGCAGATGTCCGTGTGGCGTCAAATACCACCCCCGGGTATGGGCATCGTTCAGTTCACAGCACGCGCATAACACAGATACAGCAGGCACCCAAAGACATCTATCACCCAAAGACCGCTGGCCATCAGCAGAACCTACTCCCACATGGCTGGCACGCTCACCGACCGGGAATGCGGTTGGACTCAGTTCACCAAGGTAAGGAACAACAGCATGCTGCCCAGGACGCTACCAGCAAAGTAGAATAGCGTTCCTCCTGTCCTCAAATTTGTCAGCAAGGCTATGACCATTAAATGTAAAATACACCAACTGGCTATCATCCCCTTCAATAAAATGTGACCCTGCTAGATTACGCTTACATCTGGACTTGTGAACGACTCGCCATCTCTTACTCACGCTCCACGGCCTTAGAGGAGGACGAAGTCGGGGCTGACCGTTTTTAGCAGCCCCCGTCGCGGCCCGCCGTCAGCCGCCGCCTTCTCCCGGCTCTCCGTCGGCTCCCGGTCGGCGTTCAGTTGGTGCTCAGCGCCGAGTAGTGAAACTGCTCGTCCCGGCGCCGGCGGCAGTAGAGCACCAGCGCGGCCACCAGCAGCACCAGCAGCAGGCCGCACACCAGCACGGCGGCCACGATCAGCGCCGGCGGCGAGGGCGGCGCCGGAGTCGGCGGCGGCGACACGGCGCACTCGGCCGCCGCGTCGGCCGGCCGGACGGCGGCCGTCAGGTCGCGGAACGCCTCCCACGGACAGCGGTCGGCGCAGCCGGGCAGCCGCAGCCGGTAGGGCTCCGCGGTCGTGTCGTTCCGGTAGAACATCTCCACGAAGAAGGCGCCCGACGCGTCGCGGTGCAGCTCGACGATGACGCAGCTGGCCAGCGGCGGCGCGATGCCGTTGTAGACGCCCAGCGCGCCGAGCAGCGCGGCCACGGTGAAGTCGTGCGCCGAGTACATGAACAGCTGCCGGCCGAGCGGCTGCAGCGAGCCGGCCGCCGCCGCCGCCATGTGCTCGGTCATGTCGGCCAGCAGCACGCCGCCGCCCAGCCGTCGCATCTCGGCCGTGTGGCTGAAGAGCTGGAAGGCCAGGTCGCTGATGGGGCGCAGCAGCTCCGGGTAGACGGTGCGGTTGAAGGCGGGCAGTCGGCGGCGCGCCCACTCGGGGATGGCCAGCCCGTGCCGGTCGTCGATCCACAGCGTGTCGTACAGGCCCGACAGACCCTCCACGTCGTTCAGCATCACGCCCACGCTGTGGAGGTACTTGTACAGCGGCGCGTACTTCCGGTCCACCTTGCGCACGTACTCGGACGAGTCGAGCTCCTTGCGCGCCTGCCGGTAACGCTCGCAGGCGTCGATGAAGCGCAGCTTGTAGTCGTCGGTGCTGGGCCGCGTGTGGACGGGGATCGGCTGCCAGGCCAGGTCGGGGTTCCACTTGTCGCGGCCCTGCGGCGGGTAGAGGGCGGCCAGGTTCACCTGGGCCGACATCAGCGTCCGGTCCACGTCCGACGACTCCACCTGCGTGTGGTTGGTGTGGTAGAGGGGGCTGAGGAAGCCGGCGTAGCGGCGCCGCAGGTAGGCGCCCAGCTCGTACTGATTGTTTTTGCCCTCGTTGGTGAGCTGGCCGGGCCCCTGCCACCAGTGGTCAGCGTTCGTGTCGTTCGGGTACGAGTAGATGGGCGTGCGCGCGCCGTGGCGGTACAGCACCTGCACCAGCTGCAGTGTGGTGGCGTTCTGTGCCGTCACACCGCCGCCGGCCGTCGCCAGCGCACACACCAATATCAGAGTCACGCGCATCGTCCGGATAGCGCTGGAATGTGACGGTTCTTGGTCCCTGGGAACACCAGAGAGCCGCCCGGGTTAATGTTACAAAATATGTAGCGACATAATAAAGGAAATGTAGCGATTATCAACGATGTCACGGAGGTGTTTCATGCAAGTAATCACAACTTCCTGCTGTTTTTTTTTTTTTAATAACGGCTGATGTGCGATGTCAATTGGAAGAACATGTCTGAAATTTCCCCCGCGTTCGATGTTTCTCGGTCGACGAAGATTCTACGTCGTCCGGCCAATCCCGTCCAAGGTCAGCGGGGGCTCGGCTGCGTTTATGGAACGTGATTGGCCGGACGGCGTAGAATCTTCGTCGTCCGAGAGACATCGAACGCGGGGTTCATCTTTGGCGGCGCGCTCAAGTCATGTGACGACTTTTTTCTTTCGGCACTCACTGGACACTATAAGGGTGGATTGAAGAGCTACTGCTGAACTCCTGATTCCGCTGCGACCAGTGTCACCAATGAACTGCCTGCGTTACCAACACGACGGCCTTCCACTGCCAATAGTCATTCTACACAATAAACTGTTTGCTTCGGTAATGCCACGTTTAAATGACGGTTCTATTGTGTGCACGTATTTTTTCGGAGTCGACATGGCATGACACTCCCGGACAATGGCATATCACACATCATCGTTTTGAAGCTGGAATCTTGATGCGGTAACAAGCGAAGTGTAGTGGCGACTGAGGTACGTACTCATGACCAGTTCATCCAACAGGACCGGTTCCGGCCTTTGTCCTCGTTCGCCCCGCGACACCGCGCGACAGGGGCGCTCCCGTCCCGTTCTGAGGAAAACCAGACGGGAAAACGGGCACGGTGCCCCGACTCCCAGAAAACTAGGTCACCGAGGCTGTGAGTAACCCGCGCTGGTCATTGTTGTGAGTCAATGAGGAGTTGTTACGCCACGTTAGGAATTTCCAGCCTCAGTCACCTGTCGACAGCGGCGCTATGGATGCTGCTTGCGCCGAGCGATCTCCGTCAGCCGGTGCCCGTACACCTCCCCCATCCCGCACCCATCCGTACACCTCCCCCATCCCGCACCCATCCGTACACCTCCCCCATCCCGCACCCATCCGTACACCTCCCCCATCCCGCACCCATCCGTACACCTCCCCCATCCCGCACCCATCCGTACACCTCCCCCATCCCGCACCCATCCGTACACCTCCCCCATCCCGCACCCATCCGTACACCTCCCCCTTCCCGCACCCATCCGTACACCTCCCCCATCCTGCACCCATCCGTACACCTCCCCCATCCCGCACCCATCCGTACACCTCCCCCATCCTGCACCCGTCCGTACACCTCCCCCTTCCCGCACCCATCCGTACACCTCCCCCATCCTGCACCCATCCGTACACCTCCCCCATCCCGCACCCATCCGTACACCTCCCCCATCCTGCACCCATCCGTACACCTCCCCCATCCCGCACCCATCCGTACACCTCCCCCATCCCGCACCCATCCGTACACCTCCCCCATCCTGCACCCATCCGTACACCTCCCCCATCCCGCACCCATCCGTACACCTCCCCCATCCTGCACCCGTCCGTACACCTCCCCCTTCCCGCACCCGTCCGTACACCTCCCCGTGCTGCACCCGCCCGTACACCTCCCCATCTTACACTCGTCCGTACACCTTCCCCGTCTTACACCCATTAGCACGCCTCCCCGTCCTGCTACTGTCCGTATACCTCACCCGTGCTGCACCCGTGTCCGCACACCTCCCCGTCCTGCCCCGACCGCGGAACTGCCCCGTCTTATACCTACTCGTCCGTACACCTCCCCGTCCCCGTCCAGCTCTGTCCGGCCTATTCCTCTCTGTGACACTCACCGGCGACTGCCACCCGGCCGTGGAACTAACCAACTGAAGGTTCTCTCGCTATACCTACGCGCTGTCATTTTGAAATGTTGGATAGCTCTGATCTTTGCCCCCTGTCTCCAGATAGCGATACGGCCGGCACTCGAAAGCTTCACCTATCAGTCGTCTGACTGGAACTGGAACAAACACTGCCTGCCAGCCTGGACCGTACCGTACCGTACCGGCTACAACTGATTGACTATCAGTTCGCCGGCATCGGCCATCTCCAATCTCCATCCTATGATAGCACAAAGGGAGGGGGCATGACCCCACGGCGTCTGGCGTCAATTGACACGGAGCAATTCACTTTTTGTTGGGTAGCTTCATCGCTCCTGCCAAGCATTGGACTATTCCCGATGCATGCGAGTGACCCCTTATGCACGTCCCATGCACAAAACAAAGAGATCTCAGTTTTGTGACACTTAAAATAACTCAGGTTTTTACTGGGCCGATCATGCTTAACTTGTTATCATGACATAAAGGTAGGCATTCACTGGGCAATGCATATTGCATAAGCATCCATGTGTCACGATTAGTGTGCTTTGGCATGGGCTCACATGCAACGGTCACTTTCAGATTTTAAGAACGGCTGGTCTGATAACGCTCAAATTTGGTACCTATCTACATGTTTAGGGGTTCGCAAGTAGGGTACCATGCAAAAGTTAGCTGGGACCCAGTGCACAGGTGCAGGATGTCACGTATCGCCGGTAAAGCTGGCGTCACTGTCAGCAGTAGGTAGCTTGGTACAGGTTGTAGATTAGTAGGTAAGGTTAGGTCAGATTCGATGATATTTTTACTCTAACTTCATCTGGACATTTACTAATTCAAATTACTGGTTAGCGGCGATGGTGACGTCAACTTTACTGACACAGGGAGGGAAAAGCTGGTGGGTAAACTCCCTCATTTTAAGGCTGAGTCTATTGTGCCCCTATTTGATGCACTGCCTTAGATCGGTTGGTAGGGTGCGATGCACAAGCCAGTAAGGTACCAGTTGGAACTGAGTTACCCCCTCTCTTCATCTTCAGCAAATGCAAGGCTTTGTTCCCCCAAGCAGCATCTAACTGGTTATCGATTTAAACGAAATAGTTCACTTTTAACATGGCGTTTTGAACTGGAATAGCAGTTCCATAGGAGCTGAGACAAGCACAAATCAGGAGCTTTTATGGCCCAACGATCACCCTAAGCAAAGATATTCCATTTCTCCACCCGAAAAAAGGTGCCTTGCTGAGAAATGTGCGCCTTGCAGGGGTCATTTTCCTCTTTGAAAACTGAATCGTTCCTTCTGTATTAAAATATAGAAAATAACATTTAGAAAGAAAGGCTTTATTTTATTTACTAATTTTATTTACTGTACTGATCATTTTGAGCATAAAAAAATCATAAATCAATTGCAAAAAAACTTATTTTGTGAAGGTGAACCTTTTAAATGTATCATACCAAATGATGACCTCCAATGAATTACAATTAAAGTGAGTGAATTGAGCTGCCAGGATAAAAATGAAACCTAAAAGGAGAACGCGGATCGCAATCTGAAAATCAAGTGCTGTAGTTACCGTTTTTGATTACCTATATTTTAGCAGAAACACATGCAACACACTCACCTGGGATAATTGTCGCTCGGTTATTCAAGGCTGAAGGTTGAAGAACTATTTATAAAGTAAAACCGTAAACCTAATCAATCGTTTTCGGTTTCCAGCTGGGTTTATATGGCCTTGTCATGGATTAGGAATACTTCATCCATGGCCTTGAGCTGGGGAATATTCGGTGTTATATCTTTATCTGAGCGTTGTTCTTGTTTGCAGCAACAGCACAATAAATCTGACGTCACACATCAAAGGCTTCCTCTTTCGGTGTAATTATGCTATCATGAAAGAAAATGTTAGTTTACTGTTACTGTTAATTGATGAAGGAACAAAAATTGTGTCAAGTGCTAACGTAAATCCTTATATATTGGTCTGATAAAAGTAAAATCACCTTTCGTTGCCATGAGTACCTGTTTAGCCTGTTTTTGCAACAGATCATTTTAAATACAATACACTAAAGTGATTGGAGCAATTGCGCAGGGGATGTATCAAAGAAAGTTTATAGACATTTTCCATAATTTTGATTAGAGTGTAATGCATTTAAAATATTTGATATAGGAGGTAAAAAAAAACTTTGAGTAGCATATAAATAGAGCATCAATACGCATAAAACATCATTGACTTGTTTCCGAATTCTGAAAAAATTCATAATGAATAGTTCCGGTATTCTGTCGTCACCAGCGCGCTGGTTTGAAAAAACATGAGCGTCCCCGCCAAATTCTGATAATAATTTTGGAACTGGCGTGTGCTGTGAGTGTTGGCTTCATTTCAGGATCCTGCATCAAAATGTTTTTCAATGCAAACTAAATAGCAAAATTTCTACCTTTATTCAGATAGGACCAATTCTGTGTTAAATGCTAGGATGAAGTCAAAGTGGATTTCCCTTCTGTACCATTTCAGTTTGAGTTAGTTTCAACAATAGTTTCAAGTTCAATTGGTTTTAGGTGTAAAATCCATTTTCTTTACAAGTAAAATGACATCAGCATGCACTTCAAAAATTATATGCAATGGATGCGCATTGCCTGATCTGATCAGGCGATTGACCTCTGACAGCTGACCTAGGCAATTTGTTGATTTATGTGGCTTTCTGCAATAATTTTCTGTTTCATCCTAATCCAAAACAAGGGACTTGCTCTAAAGCTCTGACAAATAAAGTTAGGCATGATATAGTCTTTGTGATGACATCATGATCAATGCAAGTCAATTGAGATGGGCATAATTGCATTGTAGAATTGAATTGAATTACCATATTGTGAAGCTAGTGTTGTTATTTTTTTATCATGATGTAGAACTCTCATTACATGGCCTACACTTTGCTCTAACCCTTGCACCTTCAACTTGTGCCCTAACCATGTTGATCAAATGAGTAGGTACCTTCAGCTTGTTTGAATCATATTCTTGGAAATGCAGCCTGAAAATGCTAGTGGCTGCAGTGAAATATTATAGTAGGTATTCTTAGATATTGCTGAGTGACTCTTCCACTCCACATGCTTACCTGATTTTGATGTTTCTTTTGTTCCAGCATTCCTGTTTTATTCTACATCCATGAAACTAGCATGGATACACTGCTGAGTGTCTCCTTGTCATTGTTGGGTAAGTGCATTACATTTTAGACATGCACTCTTTTGTAAACATTTTTCTTGAGCCTATTTACCAGTATATATGCTTGTTTTAATTCAACTTGAAATGTAAGAAGCACATGTGCTGCAATGTTCCTTACCCAAATGAGGCAACAATGTTAATAGTGCTCACCTTTTTTTTTAAATATAATTTTTGGTGCCCGACCTGGGCTTTTGTCGTTAGTAGCACACATTCATACTGGGTTAGTACACTATATACACGGCAGTGATACGGATCGTTTTCGGCACACGCTACGCGGGACAGCCTTGACCGCACGCTTCCTGTCACGTGCCCCAGGTGGCACCGCACTGGTGCGCACGCTGGGGCTATCCCGATTTCTCGGGCCCGGCAGGTCAGAGGGCTGCTCCGGGACATGAAGCGAGGCCGTGCCCTCGGGACATGTCACCGGACCGAAGGATCTGTTTAAAGGCGGATCAGGCCCGTGTACCTGCGGCCGGGGGCGCTGGCTGGCACAGCGGTAATCCCCACGACCGAGCGAACACTCCCCAGTTACTGCCATCTCCTGGGTAGGAGCCGGCCGAAGAAAACGCTGCCAGAGGTCAGCTTTGATCCAAGGGCCTCCCACACCAAACGTGAACGCATTTGCCAACTGCGCCACAAGGGTGGTTAATAGTGCTCACCTTTATGCTCTCTCTCTCTCTCTCTCTCTCTCTCTCTCTCTCTCTCTCTCTCTCTCTCTCTCTCTCTCTCTCTCTCTCTCTCTCTCTCTCTCTCTCTCTCTCTCTCTCTCTCTCTCTCTCTCTCTCTCTCTCTCTCTCTCTCTCTCTCTCTCTCTCTCTCTCTCTCTCTCTCTCTCTCTCTCTCTCTCTCTCTCTCTCTCTCTCTCTCTCTCTCTCTCTCTCTCTCTCTCTCTCTCTCTCTCTCTCTCTCTCTCTCTCTCTCTCTCTCTCTCTCTCTCTCTCTCTCTCTCTCTCTCTCTCTCTCTCTCTCTCTCTCTCTCTCTCTCTCTCTCTCTCTCTCTCTCTCTCTCTCTCTCTCTCTCTCTCTCTCTCTCTCTCTCTCTCTCTCTCTCTCTCTCTCTCTCTCTCTCTCTCTCTCTCTCTCTCTCTCTCTCTCTCTCTCTCTCTCTCTCTCTCTCTCTCTCTCTCTCTCTCTCTCTCTCTCTCTCTCTCTCTCTCTCTCTCTCTCTCTCTCTCTCTCTCTCTCTCTCTCTCTCTCTCTCTCTCTCTCTCTCTCTCTCTCTCTCTCTCTCTCTCTCTCTCTCTCTCTCTCTCTCTCTCTCTCTCTCTCTCTCTCTCTCTCTCTCTCTCTCTCTCTCTCTCTCTCTCTCTCTCTCTCTCTCTCTCTCTCTCTCTCTCTCTCTCTCTCTCTCTCTCTCTCTCTCTCTCTCTCTCTCTCTCTCTCTCTCTCTCTCTCTCTCTCTCTCTCTCTCTCTCTCTCTCTCTCTCTCTCTCTCTCTCTCTCTCTCTCTCTCTCTCTCTCTCTCTCTCTCTCTCTCTCTCTCTCTCTCTCTCTCTCTCTCTTTCTGCTATTTCCCCTCTGCCCATCTCTCACCCCTCCATACTGTTGTACCTTTCCATTGATGCAAATGGTTCTCATACCTGCAGGCCAGGCGGCCGGCGGTCCTCCCAAGACGCCGCCGCCGCCGCCCCGGCCACCTCTGGGCAACCTGACCAACGTGTGCGCCACACCCGACTCGGCGGGCGCGCCGGCCGAGCGGCGCCGGCACGGCGAGCGCCGCCGCTCCGAGACGCTCACCGACGACACGCCGGCCACGCCCATGACCAACCTGAAGCTGCTCACCAACATCGCCGCCTCGCAGCCGGGCGGCACGCGCAAGACGCTGTTTGCCAGCGGCGCGCCGGCCGAGGAGCCGCCCTCAGGCCGGCGCGGCCCGCCGCCCAGCACCCCGCGCCGGGACGAGAACGCGCCGCCGCCGCCGGCGCCGGGCACGCCGGTGCAGTTGTACCACAGCGTGTTCGACACACCCGTCTCCGGGGACGCCGAGCGCGCCAAGGTGCGCTGGCGGCGGCGCGCCAGCGACGTGCTGCCGCTGGGCGCGTGCGCGCGCTCCCCGCCGCCGCCCGCCGCCGGCTTCACCGTGGCCAAGTCGCGCAAGGACAAATCGCTCTCGGTGCTCTGTTTTAGGTAATCCGAACGCCAGCGGGGTGTGGATGAAAATAGCTGTTCACTGGTCAGCAAAACCTTTTGTGTTTATCATATTGTATTTTATTGTGCTTTGCAAATTACTTTATCGATACTTTCGGTTGATTCGATTTTTACATGATTTTTTTTTTTGTGTCCCTACATTATGTTTTCGTTATTTTGTTTTTCAGGTTTTTAGAGCTTTATCCGCTCGATGTAGGCGATAAAGAAATGAGCCTTCCTCTTGATGAGACGGCTATCATACTTGGTACTGAAAGGAGGAGGATCTATGACATTGTCAATGTGCTGGAAAGCCTGCATTTCTCCGTGCGAGTAAGTTCGGCGCCGACTTAGAAGAAGTTTTTTCCCAAAAGGAATCATAAAAGCTGTTTGGATGCAAAGACAACCCAAACTAGATGCATGAAATTACGTTGAAGTGAAAGCGGATTAGAGACGTATTTTTGTCTTTTGTTGATATTGATCTGTCATTTCCCGAACATTTTGTTTGTTATGTTTTGTTGACACGACTTGAAAAAGTCACTGGCTTGTCATCCTTCCATTCCAATGCATCGACTATGAATGTGTCCCGCCGATTTCCGCCCGTCCCACCGTGTAATATGCTCTGTCTGCTCTGCTCAGGTGGAGAAGAACCGGTACGCGTGGATCGGCCAGCGGGACCTGCTGGACACGCTGGGTCGTCTGAAGGGGCTGGCCATCCACCTGGAGGTGCCGCAGCACCTGCGCGCCGCCCTACTGGCCGCCGACGGGCTGGCCTCGCCGGCCGGCGCGCCGCTGCGCCGCGGCGCCTCCGAGCCGGCCATGGCGGCCACGGCCAGCCCGGCGCCGCTGACGCCCTGCACGCCCGTCTCGGCGGACCGTCTGTCGGCGCTGGACCGCGGCGACCGCACCCTGGGCGTGCTCACACAGAAATTCGTCATGCTGCTGCTCGTCAGTGACCGGGTGAGAGTTCCCACCGGCAGGCCGTGGTCCGTCATCTGACCGCGAGTAGGCTATCTTTGCACAATCGTGGCGCACGTTGGGAACAATATTTACGAAGATGGGTTCTGGCGACAACCGTGCTCTGCGCACCCGGATCTGTAATATTTCTACCCCGTCATGTCCGCGCTCCTGGGTTTCTCCGCTGCTCTTTGATGATGCTTACCTTAAATATAGGTAATTGTCCATCCGTCCACCACTGTCTGACAGTACTCAGTGTCGGTCTAGCTCACTGTTTCCGTTTTCTAACTGCGCCCCCGCCGCCAGCCGTACCTGAGTCAGGACGTGCTGGCGCGCGTGCTGCTCGGCCAGGACGGCCTCTCGCCGGACGGCCAGCACAAGGCCAAGGTGCGCCGCCTGTACGACATCGCCAACATCCTGCAGAGCGTCGGCCTGGTCGGCAAGGACGTCAGCACCGGCCGGCGGCCCGTCTTCACCTACACGGGGCCCAACGTCGAGCCCATCGACGTCGACCCCGGTAGGCGGGAGGAAGGGAAGGGGCGGGGCGGGTGAGGTTAGGGGCGGGGAGGATAAGATTAGGGGCAGAGAGAACAAGTTGCGTGTTCAAAGGGAAGGCTGGCGACGGATGAAGAGTATTTGGATGAGTGTTAGGAACAGAATATGAGAGTTCACTAAGAGAAGGAAACAAGGGGAACGTCGGATAGAATAAGATGCTGGATGGAGCGAATTCTAGGCGGCAGGAGCGGCCGGGGAAGCGGTGGTATATTAACGGTTGTGTAATGCTCACCGGCTACGGTTTGCAGTGTATGTACCTGCCGTGAAGTTCTGCGCGCTCTGCTCACGACTGACCCCTGCCTTCCCTCCGCCCACAGCCACGCAGCGGTCCCGCCACTCGCTGATCCAGGGTCTGACGCCGCTCTCCAGCCGGATAGTACCCGCTCCGATACTGGCGGGCCGCCGCGGCGCCGGCACCCCGCGCTCGGCCACAGCCAGTGAGTTCAGACGCACACTGCACAGTTACACTAAACAGCTTTACTGGGGTGGTCTTTTCAGGCACCCCACTCGCGCCGTCAGTGAGTAGAGGCGCGGCCCCTCCGGTTTCCCTGACCACAATAAGTACCGCTGTCACGGCCCCTTCACTGCCGCCATCAGTGGCGGCGTTCCGTGTCCGAGTCAGACTCCTGGCCCGTTGCCCGTCTGTTGGGCGTTGACACACCAGGCCCCTCGTGCTCCCAGTTCTGATACCTGCCCCGGCTGTAGTTCTCGGCGGTTCTGACTCGAGCTCTGACCCGCCCGCTGTGCCCGCAGCGCCGCGGTCCGGGCAGACTCCGGCCGCCACCCCGGAGGGCACTCCGCGCGGCGCCGGAGCCGGCCTGTGTCGGCCCGCCTCTCTGGACGACATCTGCCGGGTGACGGCGCTCGAGCGGCACCGGCTGTTCGAGCAGGACGTCGACGCCAGCCGCGGCAAGAGCGTGCTGAAGCGGCGGCTGGCCGAGGTGCAGCGCGCCCAGGCGGAGGTGAAGCGCGCCCGGCCGGCGCCGGCCGCCGTCCAGCGGCAGCTCTCGCCGGCTCAGCACAGCCAGCTCAGCGGGCTCGGCATCAAACGCATCCTGATCCGGGCCGGCGACGGCACCAGCCAGGAGATCTGTGTCCGCGAGGCGGCGCCGGCCGGCCGCGGCGACGGCCCGGCGCCGGTCGGCAGCCGGCTGGAGGCGGCCCTGCGCGGCGCCTGGCTAACGGCCGGGCCGGCGGCCACCCCGCGGCCCCCGCGAGCGCCGCCCGCACAGAACAACAAACAGATGGTGGTGGCGTACCAGCTGGTGCCCGTGGTGCGGACGGTGACGGCGGCCACACCCGAGAACGGACCCCAGGTCAGTCAGAGGGGGAGAACCGCACCTGGGATAGTGGGGGTAGGGCTGGACCCCGGGGCAGTTGAGGGAGGGATAAAGATGGCCTGCTCTGGTGTCCCGGCACTCTGGGAGCCAAGTGTCGTCACCACATCTACTGGCGGCGCTGGCACTCGTGCCTAAAAATTCGACAGCGATTGCTAATCCGTGCAGTCCTGCCTAGATTCCCGACCGTCATATGCCTGCTTATACTATCCGCTATCCAGTCGATAATTAGAGCCTGTCATTCGCTGCCTCTGTGACCTTGACCATATGCCGTCATATGCCTGCTCTGCCCAGTTTATAAGAGCCTGTCATTTGCTGCACGGCAATCTTTATTGGCCAGCCTGTGCCCTTTGCCCCGTACTCCGTGCCCGGAGTGATCGATCCCGCCAATTTAACTCTGCCTCTACTTGATATGCTCTGTGACCTGACACAGTCTTTGAACGACCTCTCTGACCGTGTGACTGACATGAGCCGACCCACTGACCCCTCCGTGTGACCTGAACCGGTCCACAGACCCCTCTGTGCCTGTGTTGTGACCTAAGACGCCTGTGACCTGACCTTTCTGAGCCGGTCTGCTGACCCCCGTGACCTACCTGAGCCGGTCCGCTGTCCCAGTGATCTGACCTGACCTGAGCCGGTCCGCTGTCCCCTGTGACATGACCTGAGCCGGTCCGCTGTCCTCGTGACGTACCTGACCTGAGCCGGTCCGCCGCAGACGCCTCTCCCGCTCCTGTACGACGAGCAGACGGTCCTGCAGCTGCCGGAGGGCGCCGGTCTGGAGCCGGCCGGCCTGGTACCCACCGCTGTGCCCACGGCCACCCCGGAGAGCCTGCTGACGCCCGGCACCATGAACCTTGTCCGCGGTCGGTGACCCGCCACCCTTAGTCCTTTGCTGAGTCCAGCTTGGGGTCCATCCATAATGGATACTTGTCTGTAGCCTTCGGTAATTTTGTTGGTATTTTTAGTAGTTTAATATAACTTTTATATCAGCATTTGAATTCATTTTAAGCATTTTGTACGATGTTTCTAGTTTTCAGTGATAAATTGTTTGTGATGCTGTTCAGTCTTTCAAAATCTGCCGTGACCGTCCCTTATCAGCAATCCCCATCCAGTGAGGCCGTGTAGTCCCGATTTATATATTTCTCCACCTCAGCTATTCCACCACTGACCGTGTCCGCCCGTCCATCCCGTCCCGTCCGCAGAAGCCGTCTCGTCCGGCACAATAAAGACGGTGTGCAACATGTCGCTGACGCCGGAGGAGCGGCCGGCCACTGCCGCCGGGGAGGCGGGCCGCTGCCGGCCGGCGCCGCGTGCCAGCCGCCGACTACAGATGGACTGAACGGGGGAAACGCCGTCATACAGGCGGTACCGCGCGCCAGTCGCCGACTCCAGATGGACTGAACGGAGGACACACCGTCATACAGGCGGCACCGCGCGCCAGACGCCGACTGCAGATGGGCTGAGTTGTTGGAGGAGGGAGGTACACCTGCGCCAGCCCCCGACTGCGGATGGACTGAACTAGGGGAGAGTTCGCTCACCGACGGCCCACACTAGCGGTCAGACTGCCAGCACACACTGCCAGTGACACTGTCAGACTGTCAGCACAGAGCGGACAGTCGGTCACACTGTCAGACTGTCAGCACAGAGCACAGAGCGGACAGTCGGTCACACAGCTGCCAGACTGCAGGACTATTAGCGACCAGAACAGACTGCCGAGCGAACTGCCGGTCACACTGCCAGCACTCAGCGAACCCTGCAGCTTACCAGGCTGTTGGTTACATCTCAACGACTAATTCATTAGGGACACAGAGAGGACTGCATCACGGGGATTCCTTCATCAAGCATGTTCGTCGATCATCAGAAAACGTGTTTAATGACTTCATAAGCGTAGCTCAGCGTTACTTGCTGGTGACATTCCTCTGGCTTCTGAGTGCTTACCGAGCAAGAGGCATGGCTGCTTTCGAAAGAGGTGTGTTTCATTTGGCACATGTCTCAGGTTCGTCTTTGAATTACTTGCGTAGATAATTTGTGACATTCGCATTGTATGTATGCCTTTTTAATTGGGGACATTCCTATTGATGTGTGCCTGCGTAAGACGGTTGCATAACTTGTGGCATCGGTTAGGCGGGCGTTAAATGTATGAGAAAAACAGCTGTTCGATTGTTAGACTGAAAACCTCGGCATTGCAGCATTGAGTCTCGTTAGGCGTAGAAGTAGTCTATGTTACCTATAAATCATTAACATTATGCTAAGCGTATCATGTTCTAATGTGGTGTTAATCATTGCTCAAACTCATCAACATCAGTATAGGTACACTGCGCCGCTTCGATAATTAGAAGCGCAGGTAATTGAGCTCAATCCGTTGACCGCGAATCTCGAACCACTGCCAACAGCAATCACTAATTGCGATCACTAATCACTCGAATAATAGTAGCACACAGTAGCAATGTTGTGATTGATTTAATTGACGTAATACCGAGCTGCAATGTGCTTAACGAAGATACGCTTTGCCGACGCTCACGTATTGTCCAGAAGTCTCGCTCATTTGTCATCGCTGTATCATTGCCGCCGAGTCATCCATAAACCATCGGGAACATACTCGGTTCTCCATTGACTCTCCCGTGGTCGGTCGGGGGAGGTCGGACCACCGTCGGCCCCGGCCGCCAGCCTGCCGATTGTCAGGTGTTTGGGTCGGCCATCACCCATACGGTTCAGCCGCTGTGACCAGCCGTTCGCCCACTGCCCAGTAGCGGGCGGTGGGCAGAATTTCAGAGTGCTTTTTCCAAAGAGGTCGGTTTTGGAGAGTGCAGGTGGGGTAGCGTAGTTTGGGAGTGTTTGTTTCGTACGGAGCCCGGTGTAGGAGTGTTTGTTGGGCGCAGAGGCCGGTTGTGGGTAGCGTTTGTAGTGTCTGTGCCGTGTCTGGCTGGGCCCCGGCGCCGCGCCGAGCAGCCGTTACCACATGAATGTGAGGCCGGCGGCCGCGGCAACCCGGGCCTGTGCGTATGGGTGAGCTGGTGTTTTGTAAGTCTTGCGACAATCCCTTATCCGAATGCTGCGTGTAGATAACTTGTCAATAAAGGTATTTGTTTTCTTGGCATAGTCCGCTTGTTTTGTCAGACGGGCGTGTTAGTGTTGGGACAAAGGCAAACAGGATCGTCATCGGGAATACTCAGCTTTACCGATTGTAATGATCCAGAGTGGGATAACTAGATTGAGGATTACATTGAATGACGATGATACGGTCGACGAGGATAAAAAAGAACATGGTACGCAATACGCGTAGCGCAAATGTGATTCAGTGAGGCCAACACGTTGAGAGTGAAGGTCGCACGTAAGGTTCCTTCCTTAGCCGCTGAAAATTGACGGATATGCCAGGTAAATAGTGTTCTTTCCCTAAATTGCCACCGGGATGGCTATTTATGGCGGCCTGCTGGCTGCCTCGGAATAACGAACTCTGCGTTACAATAAAATAAAGGGTCGTGATCGTTCAGTCAATCCGTCCCATACCAGCTGCATTTGTAAGATATCTACAATGTATTACACAACACAGCACCGTCAGTTCACACATCGATCAGTACACGGACTCTCGGACTCACGACTGGTCCACGGTTTTCTCCAGTCGAACACTGTTGATTCGCAGAGTCGTCAGCGGCATTCGGCAGACTGAAACCGAGAACGGCACGGCGTCAACGGCGGTTCGCAAACGATGAGAATCAACGGTGAATGCAGAATATGTCCCGATGTCTCACCCAAAGCAATGCCTTATTCAAGCAGTGATAAACAGTAAACACACCAATCCACAGCAGCCGGTAAATGTGCCCCTGCTTCACTCACAGTTGATGCGTCTGTAGTTTTTCCGCTTCTTTTTCCGGAAGATGGTTTTTGTGTGCGATAGTGACTTTTCGATGACAGTGGCCTCCACGGCGGCCATGCCCCGGTCGAGGACGGGCCGGCCGAGCAGGGTGAAGTCGGCACTGCCCACCAGGAGGACCTGTACCGTCAGACAGGGCGGGGGGTCAGAGCAGGTCCACAACTGAACACACAGTCGGCGATACCCCGCACGGCAGCAGCAGGGAGGACCTAAAGGACGCAAATGACAGTACCTAATTGAAAGGGACCGAGTCTCACTGAACCTTCAGAAATACGCAGTGTGTACTGTATATCGGTTGCCAACGCCCAGGCCCATTGACAGTCCTAGTATTTCGCCCCTGCTAGGTGCCGGCCGATCGGTAACCAGCCCACCGCCGCTGATATCTCACCTTTTCGAGCCTGAGCTGCTGTCCGAGGGAGGGCGGCCACTGGCCCTGCACCACCACCAGGTCGCCGTCCGTCACCTTGAACTGCTTGCCGTTGATGTGGACGACAGCGAACAGCCGGCCGGTGGAGCGGTCGGCGATCGACCGGTTCACCTGGCTCACCACGTCTGCAGGCGCAGAGCGCCGCGACAGGTCAGTGGCATTACACGGCCAGGCACGGTCATCAGCGGGCCAGGATCACATCCTCCCCGTCGCGTACAGTGATCTGTGCCCGAGTCACGGGGCCACACCATTATCGGGCGCGGAGATCGAAAAGTCAGGAGTCCAGGACCACAACGTAACAAGCGGGGCAGTCCCACAGATAGACATACCTTATATCCCAGTCAGCAAACTATTAACACATTTTCAATCAGATAAACTCTCCCCTGCGACTAGTATGCGTACACACAGCGTGGCTCACCTGCCGTGATTTTGTTTTCTGTCTCTGCCACCACCTCGTAGTCGGGCTGGACGTCCTGGTAGCTGGCGCTTCTGAACTGCGCGGCGCTGGTCCTCAGCGAGGCGACCAGTGACGGACAGGAGGACACTCCGGGAACTAGGCTCAGAGCACGGCAGCGCGAAAGGACGGATGCCGACCTTCCTGCTGGAGGTGGGACAGACCGAGTATCGGCAGTGCAATGAGACATTCCTTGTGGTTGACAGCAAATGAGTTTTGGTGCTGATGCTGCCTCTGTCCATTAAAGATATAACAAGTATAACCTATTCCCTTCAATCTGTCAATTACCCAAGACAAACAAAAACTCAGTGTGCATTGCAAATGCATTTGAACCGATGACTGGCAAAAGCTTATTTACATGACACGTTCATCTGCTAATGTACTTTTGGTAATAAAATCAAATTGTGTTGAAATATTAGTGATGCACTGTTATAAGCACAGGACCAAAGGGCAAAGGCTGAAATGCCTCATCACTCCTCCCTACTTACCACTGGAGGTGCCGCAGGTGGCAGATGTGATGTGGGATCGTACATGACCCAGCAAACTTGTGGCCAGCCTTCTCGGTAATGACATCATGCAGATATGTATCTGCGGGCAGGCAGACATTTGTCAGACATTTGCCAAACAAAACTATTGTATATTTCTGGGGAAAAAAACTTAGAAACATTAAAAGGCAAATGCTATTATGTTAAACTCTAATGTATACCGCCGAGCTATCAACAGGATTGACCATGACTCGTTTAATCAGCAGCTCGCTGATATGGACTGGAACCCAGTGTATGGCTGCGACACCACCGAACGTAAATGGAACGTTTTCTGTGAAACGTTCATAGGTCAATTGGACAATGTTGCGCCCCTCAGACGTGTTCGGAATAGGCAGGTGACCGCGCCGGCCGTGACAGCCGAGACCCAGCAGCTGTTGCAGTCCCGCCGGGCGGCTCTAGCTCGGGGCGATCGAGCCGAGTATAAGCGGGTGAACCGTCTGTGCCGCGCCGCCGTGCGAAACGATACCCGTGCGCGGTACGCCGGTGCTATCAGCCGCGGTGACCGAGGCGGGCTGTGGCGAGTGCTGCGGCCGGTGCTGGGCAGGAAACAGCAGAGCTGTGAGATACCGAGGATCACACCGAATGCTCTTAACAACTATTATGTTGCAGTCGGCCCTGCCACCGCAGCCAGTGTTCCTGCCGCTACAGCACGTGTGCCCATGTTACTCCCAAGAGTGCTGATGAGCGCGTTTAAGGTGCAGGCTACCGATTTGGACTCTCTGTACGCGATACTGCTTTCAATGAAACCTTCTATGTCAGCAGGCAGGGACGGTGTAAGCGTGCGTTTGCTGCAGCGTTATTTTCCCGGGATCAATGGGCCTGTTGGACGTTGTTAACTCCAGTCTCGCCACCGGTGATGTACCTCAGGAATGGAAGCACGCCTTAGTGACCCCTATTCCGAAGGGGAACAGGTCCCTCGAGCCGTCCGACACGCGCCCCATCTCCATGCTGCCGGCGATTATGAAATTAGTTGAACGTGTTGTGCAGAAACAGTTATTTGCTTACCTTGAAGAAAATTATTTGCTTTCGGACGCACAGTACGGCTACAGAAAACAACGCTCCACGGAAACGGCGCTTCACGCCATAACAGACCAGGCTCTTCAAGCAATGGACAACGGACATATTTGCATATTGGTACTTTTGGATCTTTCTAAATGTTTTGATGTGGTTCCGCACACAAAACTTCTCGAAAAGTTGTCGTTGTACGGCATCGAAATTTCATGGTTCAGAAACTATTTGGCTAACCACTCGCAGCAGGTTCAGATGAGGTGTGCGGACGGCTCCATCCTGCTGTCTGACAGCAAGGAGAACACCATCGGCGTGTACCAGGGCGGCGCCTTGAGCTGTGTATTGTAATGCTTTTCTCCAACGATCTGTGTCTGAGCGTACCCGAAGACGTCACCATAGTTCAGTACGCTAACGATACTCAGCTTATGGTAACTGGCAGGAAATGTGACTTACAATCGATGACTGCACGCATGGAGGACGCACTGGCTCGTGTCTATCTGTGGTTCTGCCACAACGGAATGAAGCTCAACGCTGCAAAGACGCAGATGCTTGTTATAGGAACTCCGGCGATGCTTCGAACCTTGCCACCAGTTATCCTGAACTTCTGCGCGACTACCATTACCGAGCCTGAGACTGTGAAAAACCTAGGAATCATTCTTGACCGCCACCTCAACTTTGTGCCGCATGTAGATGCCGTAACACGGAAAGGCACAGGCATGCTCACGGCGCTGATACACGCACGGCACGTGATACCGCGATCAGCCCTGAGGCAGATTGTCGGAGCGCTGGTCATGTCAGTGTTGCGGTATGGTTTATCGGTGTATGGATCGTGTGGGGAGACGCAGCTTTGTCGACTGCAGAAAGTGGTAAAGTTTTGTGCGCGTGTCGTATCCGGTCGGCGCGTCGCGATAATGTTGTGGCAGTCATTAAGGAGCTGAAGTGGTTGACTGCCAAACAGTTAGTAACGTATCACACTGTGAGCGCTGTAGAGCGCATCATCACGTCCGGACAGCCCGAATATCTCCGAGGTACACTTGGCCAGCGGGCTAGCCAGCGTCATAGACACGACACCAGGCACGCCTACTATTTTACACTCCCATCCATTCGTACGGAAGCAGGCCGCCGTAGGCTCTGCTACCGTGGCATAGCTCGTTTGAACGAGCTGGGAGTCGAGCCAGGTATTCTGTCATACCGCTATAAAGTCAAAAATGTGCTGCTAGCCACGCCACCGACATGAACGTATGTTGAACGAATGCATGTGCGTGAAAGAGTATGTATGCGCTTCATTGTTTGTATTTTCGGTTTTTCATTGACGTGAACATGTGAAAAGTCCCTCCTCAGAGTGGATCCTGTTTTAATACATCTGTATCTGTATCTGTATCTGTAAAAGCTCAAATAACTGCACAACACAACACACAGCAGGTTGGTAGGTGCCTGCAGACTGACCATAATCACCACGAACCCTGTGAGTTCATCAAGAAAATGTCCACCTAGCAGATCCCATTCCAGACAGTGCAACAGGATACAAAAACACAAATAGACATCCAGAAAACTAAAAAACATGCACGAGTTAATATAGATTAACTTTAACTAACTAACCCCGTGTTCAATGTCTTTCGGACCAAGAAAATTATACGCCGTCCAGCCAATCCCGTTCAAGATCAGTGGGGACTAGGCTGCAGCTATGGAACGTGATTGGTCGGAAGGCATAGAATCTTCGTCGTCCGAGAGACATCAAACTCTGTAAATTCAGAAAACTCTGTAAAACTCTGTAAGTATTACTATGTAAATTCAGATTAAACTTATAATAAAAAACTAAAACCATGTTTTGTCCTATCTATCCAGACTATCTTGAATCAAGTGATGTGTTAGGTATATGATAGTATCATAGTAAACATCAGACTCATTAGCGTCGCCACGGGGGGGGCAAGCGGGGCAGCTTGCCCCCCCAACCTCGGACCTGGCACCCCCTGAGATCGATACAGATCCGATGAGATTTTGGAGTCGGGAAAAAATGGGGGTACCTTTCTGAGAATGCCTGTGAGGTCAGACTCGGTTGGAGCGTGTAGTTCAAACCAGAGTCTGACTCGCAGTCGCCAAAATCTTCCAGACTCCGAGTCCAGACTCGGAAATGACAATGCTGTGATTCGTTCCATGTTCCTAGTTCGTTCTTTTTTACATTTTACAGCTGATTTTCATAAGTTTTGGAGTGCTGACACAATTTTCGTTCAAAGCGTGAAACGAAATCTTCGGGGCCTTTCTCAACTCTCGTCAAATGTCTGCGACAGGCTCAAGTACCGTACAAGTGTCGCAGGGCTCATGAGCTTGCAAAGGCTCCTAAGGAGCTCCACTGAGCCCTAAAGAAGCTTTCAGAGGGCCCAAACTGGCCTCTGAAAGTCCCACTGGCGTCAATGTTCTCTGAGGACCCATACAGGATCTTTGAGCCTTCAAACATTTCTGAGAACCTTAACTGGCCTCTGATAGTTCAGCCAAACTTTTGAGGCGACAGACTTTGCTAACCCCAAGCCGGCATCTGAGGGTTCACAGCTCACGTATCCCTCTGAGGTCGGCAACATATGTTTATTATTTCCCTACATAGGGTCCTTAGGGATTCGACACAGACCCCGAGGGTTCACACTGTTATCCGAGGGCTCCAGGCTCACCCTGGGCCTAGTCTCTAAGCGCCCGCCGGCCGCCGCCCACACTGGCTTCTGAGGGCCCCACCTTGGGCTCGGAAAGCCCCAAAGCACCACGTACACGTAAATATTTGAGGTGACTCACGCCGATCTCCGGGATCCTAAGCATGCTTCTGAGAGTCAGCACTGACCCTGAGTGGCCTGAAATGGCCTGGAAGTCCCAAACCTATCACAAACCTATCACCTTGCCGCTATGCCGTGCGTAATTTTTGGTTCCGTTTAACAGTTTTTGTTCGCGTTTGCAGCGCTTCCCTTCACACAAAAACGAGAAACTTTTGTTTACACTCGAGTGAACAAAGCACTTCCTCTCACTGGAGCAAAGATGAATTACTTCCGATTCACACTTCCGACACTCACTCTCCGCCGAATGCCCAACTTAGCTACGATCGGCGGCTGGGATACCTAAGTCCTATACATTTCACGCAAAGCCTCTGCATGCATGCGTGAATGGAGGTTTTAGCAGGGTGATCCGATTAAATGGAGCGTTTTTCACCTTTTTCTGAGCAATGATCATGAGCGTCGAGCGTCTGCTCAGGGGCCCTCTGCAGTGCGTCGGCAATCGCAGCCACTATATACTATAATTCTCCCAGTCGTTTTTGTCATGAAATTTCAAAATTTCGATTTTTTTTTGTAAAAAATTACATGCCATAGCTAGAAGGAAACCTTTGTCACCATCGGATTCCTCGCACCATTGCGCGTCGAATGATATGTAAAACGAGTGAGTAAAGACTTGGGAAAGGCAAGTTTTAACACAAAAGTTGATTATGCCCCCCCAACCGAAAATCTCTGGCGACGCCTATGATCAGACTATTAACAAAATGCTGAGAAATCAATGCTTACAAGGGTAAACACACTTTAAAAAAGACTTAATGCATAAATACAAATTGAAGTACAACCCAAGGTATATAAAAACGGTACAACCTACACCACCCACGACTACCACACCACCACTTTCACCCCAAAACGCCAAAACCAATCCAAAACACAGTGGCGTGAGTGCGTGACAATTTAGACGCACATAACCTGTTTAATGTTTCAACTGTTTCATCATTCGTGCTGACGAAAGGATCGACCAATCAATTTCAATAGAGATGACGTATTATAAGGACCTAAGAAGTTAGCTATTGGTAGTTGATGAATACTTTGACGTCATAACATTTGACCTTGAGCTTAACAGTAGCTTGGAACCATAGGAACAGGAGCAGGATGACAGAATGAACAGCTCTTAGGGTCTGTTCCAGTCACACTTCCTAACACCTCCAAACTCCTCCAAGAGCAAGACAGAGGAGGTTGGAGCAGGGCCAAGCAGGGCCCTCATTGGCTTTGTAGGGGCTAGATCTTTTTTTTTCTGCCACTAGTGGGACAGGGAAGCAATCTCGGAGGAGTTTAGAGGTGTAAGGAAGTGCGACTGGAGCAGACCCTTAGATATAGCGAGATACAGCCAAAGGCCAAGACAGCGGGCAGCATGGGAATCGCGTGGGAGTGTGGACTGTGGTGTTGGGACGTGGGAGGCTTTTTTCGGAAGAAGAGGGTTTCCTGATCCTGATGCTTGTCGTTGGACGCTTGGGTCGCAAGGCTACGCGTTCCAACAACTGATGCTTGTCATCTTGGGGAGGCTCGTAACTCGTAAGCCGAAAGATCAATATTCAACGCTTGTTATTCACAATGTTCAATGGTACAGACAGGGTTAATGATCAATGGTACAGGTGAGGAATTTTGATATTTCATGAAGTGGTGATGCAGGACGAAGATGACTTCCAATTTGCATGAAGTCCTAATTGAAACACAACATACCAAGAAGTGGACAAATGCTACTTTTGAGGGTACCTTGCCGGTGCTTAGTTCAAAGGATACACCATATGATGTATTGCTGAATGGGGTCTGTGGTATTGTTTCTGAAGATAGCTCAGACTATTTGTTTTCTGTTGTAAGTACCAAATCAGAAATCATACTGAACGTTCCTTTTCAATTTGACAATACTTGTCATATTTTGTCTTAATCACTGTTTTCATGTCAGATAGTGCATGACAGTTAAATCAGTGTCTTTGACTCTTTATGTAGCTTTCAAAGGAATATAAGGCACTATTTCTTTGTACAATAATGCTTTATAATGCCTATTAAATGTGACAAGTGAAGGGAAGTTGCAGAGTGATAGTGCGGTTAATTAAGTAGTGACCAGGATACTTATTGGCCAAGAAGTCTGGCTACTAACTTTGCATTCTATGATTACCTACCATATGCTTTTCAGGGATCATTTGGCACTAAAATTGCCGAAGATGTTCTGGACAGATACCTACAGCTTCAATGGGACATTGCTGCTGAAGAGGATGTATCTACCAGTGACATGTTCTTCCTGCTGGACTCTGTCCGCCGCAGCCATCGGCAGCACCAGGACACAAAGGATGACGCAGCGGAGCCGCCGGACGTCGGTGAGCTGCCGGACCCCGATCAGACTGCGGGGGAGGACGGACCAGCCCCCTCCCCCTCCGAGGACGTGTCACGGGCCCCCTCACCCGCCTCCGACGTCAGCGGCGCCGAGGCCGGCCCGGTCCGCCGCCGGCTGGTCCTGCAGTCCGAGGAGGTGCTGTTTCTCTCCCACGCGCTGGGCTGTGTGCGTGTGACGACCCCGTCCGGTGCCGAGCTGGCCGGCGAGCGGCTGTACCGCCACCTGGCGGAGGAGTGCGGCGACCGCCACCTGGCGGCCCGGTACGCCGCCTACCTGGATCTTCGCGGCCGCGGCTGGGTGGTCCGCGACGGCCTCCAATCCGGCGCCGACTTCGGTGAGCTGCCGAGCTACTTATCGAGTTTACGAGCTACAAACTACGGGTCTATGAAGCTACTGAGCGATTATTTTCACGAGCCACCGAGCTATGAAGTAAGAGAGCTGTAACCAGTGATTGAGGAGCTGGGAGGGAGTAGTTGCAATGATTGTTAGTGACAGTACTCTCGTTCTATATTTTTGTTACGATGTCCGGATGTCGTGACGGCGCTCGCACAATCGCATCTGATAACTTGTGCGTGGATGCTACTGTGATTTATCGTATTACTCTGTAAATGTTTTACTGATCCCTCTGCCTCTGCTGATCTGTGTGTCTCCGCACCCTGCAGTGCTGTACCGCCGTGGGCCGGCGTTCTACCACGCGGCGCTGGTGGTCACCATCCAGGTGGTGTGCGCCGACACGGGCCGGCTGCGGCCCGAGCGCTGCTTGCGACAGGCCGACTGGCTGTACACGGCCGGGCTGTGCCGCGCCGCCGAGCAGACTGCCAAGGTGAGCACGGTGGACCGTCCAGTGAGGGATGCTGTTGCTGAATGGGCTACTGGGGGGTGTAGAGAGGGACTATGATAAACTGAGAATAGAAAGGTTAGCCGGCCGGCGTATAAGCGAGTGCGCCCTAAATCGACTTCATCATTTCAGAATTGGGAGCTCGATAGGTTCGATAGTCACGAACAACTTGAAGACCTGTTTCGAAACCCAGAGCATGAGCATTGATCATTATGATTGCAATGATAAGCGATTTAGTTTCTCAGTTGCACAATACTTCCGTCACGTGGTGGCAGTTGCATGTGCTTCCGACAGTCGGACAAGTGCGCATTACACGTTTCTATAAACGGACGACAGATGAGTAGACTTAATGTCACCTGACTTGGATTTGTAATCCTACATTTGTTTGTGTATGTTTAGAGGCCTTACCCAGTGTTTATGACTTAGTCCAAAACCATCTGAGATTGAGACATGTTTCTACAAAGAAGCGCCTGACTGAGGTTACGCAACCGTTTCCCTGATGCAACCGGGAGTCCGCCCCCGATACGGGACCGCCGATTGGAGCATCGGAGCCGGGGTGGGCTCGCCCGGCTCGAGTTTACAAACAAAGGGGCGCTGGTGGCTGACCCGGGTCAGGAACCGGGTACTGGTGCCTCAGTCAGCTGGGGTGCTGACAATAACAGTCTGTAAAACATCGGGTTCCCAACAAGCTAGGATCGCACGAGCTATGTGCCAGGGTACTGTGGAGGCCATATTTGGACCGTGTAGCTAATGTCGTCCCCTCGGCACCGTTTTCGCGGATACCCCATCACACCGGAATCACTGACCTGGCCTGAGCTGAGCTGAGCTGCTGCTCTGACCTGCCCTATACTATTCTGACCTGCCCTGAGGTGACCTGAGCTGCTCTGCCCTGAGCCGCTCTGAGCTAACCTGATCTGTCAAGCCCTGACCTGGACGTGCTCTGTTCTGACAGACCTTCCCGCTCTGTCTATCGCCAGGACGTGCTGCTGGTTCGTCTGCTGTGGCCGTCTGACCTAGGCCGGCCGGCCGACCTCGGCTACCTGCGCCGGGTCGGTGTGCAGCACACGCTGGTGCGCCGCTGGACACCCGGCCGGCCCGCTCGGACCGACAGCTGACGGCTGAACGAGAGGAGGTGCTCCACACCACAGGTGCGTCCGCCCGGCGCCGCGGCGAGGGTGAGCCGGGGTGGGCGCGGCCGGGCCGGGCCGCGGAGGAGTGGCCCCGCAGAGCCGCCGACTCGGTCCGGGGTGACCCCCACAGCGGTGTCTTTCCTGCTCCGTGACGGCGCCGGCACCCCGGTGACCGGCCGGTGATATTCCCGCGCTCGTCTCGGTGTTGACAGTGGCGGGTTGTGTAAATTGTAGGCGCTGGCGGTGCTGGGGTGAAGGATCTCGTGCCGCAGGGAATCACCAGTGGACTGGCGCGGTGTCTCGGTCGTCAGTCAGTCTTCCTCTCGTGTGTCTGTGATTTTCCGTCGGCGTCCTCTAGTGTTTGTGTTGGCAGTGTTCGCCGGTCTCTGCAGGGGAAGAGCAGTCGTCGGTTGCTGACGGGCAGTGAGTTGGCATTCCTGCAGAGGGAACGGTGTGTCGGCACCGGACCAGTCGGCTACTCTGGCCGGCCAGCTGCGGTTTGAAGGGTGCCTGGATGATCAAACAAATATATCATGACTGTTACGGTGATTCTTTTTTGGACTACATTAGTATTTTGGTTTTCATCGCAATAATTCCATTCGAAGGGCCATTCCATTCCATTCCCATCCGGGTATCATTTTATCATAGTAGATCCATTCGTTAGGCCATTTCATTCCAGTGTCATCCTTGTGCCATTTTATCGTAATAATAGTTAGTCTCATTCTTTGGGCCATCCTTCTCTATTCACATTCAGAATGTTGCGCCACTAAATATCGTGGTCTGTGTGCAATCCAAACGCCGTTGTTCTCCTTTGGGAGCTTTCCTGTGCATAATTCGCTCTCCTGAATTATCCATTCTACTCCAGGGTTGTTTTCACGGTTGTCATAATGAACACCAGGATACAACCCCGTCTGACCGGGCTCGTGTCTCTCCTCTTCCCTCCGACGCTCTACAAGTCCTCCTCTACCAGTATTGTTGCCTGTACTCCCTCCATTTATCTGGTGGTAAATTGTGGATCAAATTGTTCTTTGCTTTTGTAGTTCATGTAGTTGTGCATCATTCCCTGGCATTAGCCGATCGGTGTTCACTAAGAATACGCCTCGTGTGTCTAATGACCTGTATATTATCAGCTCAACTGTCGATACCTGAGATACCCTCCGAGCTCCCCGCGTGTGACCGCCGAGTGCGAGAGGTCCCAGCCGTCGACTCACTGGATTTGTACTGGCACAATCACCTCTGACCGAGACGATTTAATAACTTACACGTCAACACCACAGCATGGGCGCACATACAACGGCGCGTGAAACCGAGACGGGAATCGTATCAGCGCTCTTACAACGGCGCATAATATAGAGACGGGAATGATGCCGGGCTCGCGGCCACGGCGCTCGACAGAACACCCGGCGAACAGGGCAAACACGAACATCACTAGACGCTTCTCCAGCTGTGGGGCTGACATTGGATGAAAGATAACTCGCGGAATGGTAACTACCTCCTCTATACATGCACAGTCATGGAATAAAACGCGAGTGGCGACATCGAACACAACACATTACATAGTTAATGCCGCGACGGTAACTCCGGGCGCTCGATGCGAGCTGACGGCCGGTCGGTCGCTCCACGGGAGCACGTAGCACCTCTCTGTCCCTCGGACCCCGGGTCAGGGCACAGCCCCGCGGGACCGGAACAGTCTCTGCTCCCGGCGCTCCGGTAACGAGCCCCTCACCCTCCACGGTTCACCAGTCTGTCTCTGTCCGCACTCGCGCCGCTGGCGGCCGCTTCGAAAGCCCTGTGTGAGTGGATCGGCGGGCGATCAGCTGCGCCCGCCGCCGCCGGTCACCAGCTCGTAGACGAGGAACACGAGGCACACGTTGGGCGTCACGTGCAGCAGGTAGGGGGTCAGGCCGCGGTAGAGACCGCGCGGCCCCTCGCGGCGCACGATCCGCTGGATGACGTCCATGGAGCCCGTGTAGCTGGTGCGGTGGTCCTGCAGTCGGGCGCGCACCACCTGGGGGGAGGGAGGGGTCAGTGTCACAGCGCGCTGATATCGTACTGGGACCGGACACCGCAGTCAGCAGAGAGACTGCGCCTTAGAGCGCCGACAATATGGGGTGATGTACCGGTAGCTGCGCAAAACCTGCACCGGATCTTTGTGATATTAAACTTATGACGATACCGTCTTTGCTAACTCGGTGAACTGCTATCATAGTGTTTGGCAATCGACAGATTAGGCCGAACTGATGGTCCGTACTTAAGCAAAAGGTCATCAGACGGTTGCGCTGTTTACTGGTACTTATCCGCTGATTGCGGTTATTCCTGGTTCTCCGTCGTTCCCCGACCTCTCACCTGATAGGGGTAGGTGACGCAGGCGGCGAACAGTTTGGAGAGCGCCGCAAACTGCAGGTACTCGGCCGTGGAGAGCGCGTGGTCGACGGCCCGGTGCTGGTGCCGGTTGTAGCGGCTCTTCAGCTCCTCGTAGGCCATGAACTGCAGCGCCCCGTGCGAGACGCCCCAGACGCCGGGCACGAAGCCGCGGTAGAGGCCGCGCGCGCCCTCCGCGCGGTACGTCTTCCTCAGCGCGTCGAACATCCCCGAGAAGCGCTTACTCTCCGGGAGAGCGGCGTCCAGGGAGGTCTGTAGGCACAGCCTGCGGGCAGAGGGCGAGGTCAGACCCGAGGGCGATACACAGGCCACCGGGGCCATATGGTATCGGACTACAGCAATAGCATTAGTTGAGACTGCGCAGTGCTCAACGACCCATCGTCCCCAGGCAAGGCGCCGTGATCTGGGTGATGGATGGTCGGGTTAAAGCGTCGAGATCCGGGCGATAGCTGCTCTCATAAATCGATACGGCGGTGACAGACGGGTGCCCAGGTGAGCGGGTTTGTTTGGCACCCAGCCCGTCCCCGCTGTGGGGGGAAGGGGGACTCGGGCAGCCACTCAGGTGCAGGGTTACAGCGCCGGCCGACCGACCGCCCAGCCCCCTCCCCCCCTCCCCCGGGGGTCGCTCCGCCCAGTGGAATAGTACCGCGGGGGGCGGTGGTTGACCGCCCCGCCGCCAGGTGTCTCTGTCTGCTCACCTGGTTCGGACCACGCTGATGGGGTTGGTGAGGGCGAGAGTCAGCACGCCGGCCTCGGAGGCCACCAACATGTGGCGCGCCGCGCCCAGGTCGCGGCTTGAGTCGCCCGACTGCATCCATGACTTGAGCGAGCTGTAGCTGCGGGCGGACAGAGACGGTGACGTCAGACGGGGGTCAGCTGACCGCCGCGGCCGCGGCCGTGACGTCAGCGCAGTTGCGTAACCGGGGGCCAGGGGCCAGATAACGGTCAGCACGTGACTATATTAAGTGGGGCTGTCCGCACTCTCAGTGCGTACACGATTATGCCGCTCATTACGTTACAGGCGGAGAAACCAGTCACGTGACGGCTCTGCAGTCTGCACTGCCCCTCCCCATCTCCTCAAGGCCTCCCATGGCGCGACGGGTTCCTGGAATCCATGCAGCCGCACCGTATACCGAACTGAATGACCTTACGGCGAAACCAGGCCAGCGGACGGCCGGCAGCGACTACTCAGAACTAAAGGGAGGGGGCAGGCGGTGCCATGGGGAAGCGCCAGCTGGTCACACAGAGGGCCCGTTCGGTACTCACAACATGAAGTAGAGTCCCCAGGAGGAGCCGGCTCCGAGCAGGTTGGGCGTGACGCCGCGGTACAGGCCGCGGATGCCCTCCGAGCTGGTGATGGTGGTCACCGCGTTGGCCACGCCCGAGTAGCGCGGCGCGCGGCCCTTTCCTCCTGCGTCCTCCACGGCGAACCGGATCTTGATGAGGTCGAGCGGGTGCAGCAGCAGCGTGGAGGTGACGCCGCCGGCCACTCCGCCGGCCAGGTGCTGGAGCGGCAGCGGGCGCCGCCGCGCCGGGGTCGCCGACATGGCTGCCGAGGGCGCTGACGGGGCGGGCGCGGAGACAGGGACACTGGCTGCCACAGAGGCGTCCGGAGCCGGGAGAGCCACCACCGGGTGCGTGGAGACCAGCTTGGGTAGGGCGGCTGCGCTCACAGCTGCTGCCGACGCGTCCAGCGGGGCCGTGCCGAGGCCGGACGGGCTGCTCACCGCTATCGCTGCAGACGGAGGCCGCGCCGCAGCCGACACCGCTCCCAAACACGTCCGAGCCGCCGGAGAGCCGTTGGTCGAAAAAGCACTCATCTCACGGCGCCGATTTTATAGGCGGCCTGCCGGGGCTCGCCGCGCTGCCAACTGGCGGCCGGCCGGGCCGACCTTGCCTTTACGGCTGCGGCCCGGCGGTCTGATGTCGGCGGCGAGCCTCCCAGGGCCGCGCGCTGATTGGTCGCCGCCAGGGGCACGGCGCCGGTCGATTGGGAAACCGTGACGTCACGCGCAGACGCGGTGCGCGGCCGTTCCCGAAAGCGGCGGAGTTACGCGCAGCTGCAGCGACGCAGAATCAAATGCAAATGGCTCGTTTTACCGGGCTTGCCTGGTGGTCCTATCAGATGGGATGTGAGGTCGTTCATGAGGTGGTCCCGCCTGTTGAGTAGTCTGTGGATGTGTCTGGTCTGATCCGGAGAGCTCCCCTGAGCGGCGGTGCCGTGCCGCCGCTGGACGGCCCGTCGAGCGCCACTCCAGCCTTGGATGCCGGCGGCCGGACCGGGCGAGCCCCCGGTATTTGGCTGATGTAACCGCGCGCGCCGCGGCGTCAACAGGACCGGCGCGCAGCTGATGCAGCCCACCGTACTCGCAGCCGCCGGACCGGGCCGGACCGGGCCGGGCCGGGCTGATTGGTGTGCACGCGCCCCGTGCGTGCAGCGCCGGGTGAAGGACAGATGATGGCCGACCGACCGTCACCCGCGCCCGGCCGGCCAAAAATCAGGGTCACTTAACTAGCAGCACGTCTTCTCCGCGTGCTACCTTGGCTGGGAGTGGCCGCTTTGTTTTGTTTTGGTCGGCGCAACGTGCCGTTCTGTCCACCCAGGACGCACGTGGTGGGCGACAATAGGAGGCTGGGTCTCGGTACGGTGACCGTCGACGGTAAGACGGTGCTCGCTGGGCGTCAGAGCAGATTGGCTAATGTTCGTTGGGCAATTGTCCGTCTGAAGGCCTCTCCGCGCTTCCGTCAACACCGGCTCGTACTAGCGACCGTCCCACCGGGCTGGCCTTGATGCTCGCCGCCGCCCGCTTCTCCGAATGCGCGTGCTACCTTGGGCTCTCTTTACATGTCGGGTGCGTCAGGTCTGCTCAGACCAGGCGGCTTCGTACCGTGCGACCTTCATGTCCCGTCGCTGTGGCGGGCGGCCAGGGCTGACTGGCCCGTTAAAGTTAACGATTCCGTGCAACGGCACCATGGGACGGGAGGCTCAATGTCAAATACATCCCGAGTGTAGACGAGTTAAAAGAGAGGCGCTGCCTGCCCCCGGCCGGCTGTGCTGCTTCATTTGGGAGTCACAAGTTTTTCAAGGACTGCTGCTTGTCAGTTTTCATAGCCACAGAGAGAACTTCTGCCTGACGGGCTAAGGTGGGAACCCGGTCACATCGAATGGGTCCCAGTCGTGAACTTGTGAAATTAGTTATCTCGATTTTATAAAAAGGATTGTTAGAAATTGCCTCTTCAAATATTTTAATTATTCGTTGCTTAACACTTATTCTTTCAACCACAAACTGAACATTTATTTATACCTTTTTGTGTCTTGCGAAACGTTGCAATGTTGGTCAATCTCAGCTACCTATTGCCCCATTCCGGTCCGGATTATTCCGGTTTTCAGCGGCGCCTAGTGCCGTTTGTTTGCAGCTGCGGAGTTTCTCGGGAGTCAGCTCTCGCTTTAGGTCTCCCTTCTCACCTCCCCACACCCCTCTCCGTCCGCCTACCACCCCCAAACAGACCGGCGACCTCGAGCATCGCCACCAACCAAGGCCGGAGCCGCCGCAGCCGTCCTGCCGGCCCGCCCCGTCTACCGACCACGCGCTGCGTACCTACGCGGGGTTCACGCGCCGACCACTCCCGACCCGGGCTGAGCGCGTCCCGTGGCCGCTGACACACGGTCCGCAGGGTCAGGGTCAAGCCCGAACCGCTTCACAGCGCCGGGTGCATAGGGCTTCAGGCTGGGTCTGGCCAGGGCGCAGCAGGCTGGGATAGACGGTTCAAACCGGTAGCGGCCGCCGCGCTGGGAGTCCACGAGTGATCGGGATCCCGGACTTCTGCTTCGCTGCACGAAGTTGCTGAAGTTCCAACCAATTTTGACACTGCAGAAAAGAATCGCCGCCGAAATCGCAGGCGTTCTCATTGAATGATCGTATGCATATCATTAACCCTCGCATGTGTAGGGGGGGTCGGATGGACCCCCCATGGTTTTTCGCGAATAACTCGCGTAAAAAGCGGCCGATCGCGACGAAACTTTTAGTACTCTCGCATTGATCAATTTTACACGTACCCTGAAAATTTCATGACCCTGACCCAAATGACCTTTGACCTGTGACCTCTTTTCCGAGACCATGTTTAGCCCACGGTTCGTCGGAAGGTCATCTCAGGCTCAAAAGAAACGGTATATACCATTCGAAAGCAGACGATGCGCTGAATCCGAAAATGTAATTTTTATCTAAATCGATCGATTGCCTTTTTTGAAAATTGCGTTTTTGTAAAAACTTAATAATTTTTTATTCAACGGGCTGTCCCAGACATTCTTGAAAATATAAACATGTATTTTTGAGTTCCAGTGAAAGCTGAATGCCAAAAGAACAATATTTTGCGAAGCAATATTTCCAAACATTAATATGCGTCTCCCAAAGCCGACAATAAGGCGCAATTACACAGCTCAATGTCACGATGGACCAAAGTCAGCCACACAGAAGCGTGAAATGACCCTTATCGACTCGCAGACCCGGCGCTCTCGGCCCGCCTGACCGGCCACGGAAAGAACGTTCGGCTCTCGTTCTACTAAACAAACGTCATATTTGTCAGTTTAACTGTCCACATCGCTATTAAAGTTATTCAGGATACTTGTGAAGAAAATTCATTGTTCTACTTGATTTACAACATACTTTAATTTAAATGTTTCTTATACATGTTTTGTTCCATCCAGCTGCGCTCAGTCCCCGCGCAAGGGAAGTGAGCGGGGTTTCACTGTCAGAGGCTGTACTGGTGACAGCTGCTCGACCGTGCGACCGGTCAAAGGTTACCCTGCCCCACCGGGCGCTACCCCCACTCCACCAGAGCTGAGGCCGGTACAACCTCTGACATTTCAGCGCGGCCAATTTTCCTTATATGGGCATGATACCAGGCACAATTGAGCAAAGAAGACATGAACAAATGTAAATTAATGCATGATGTGAAGTTGACAGAGCAATGAATTTTCTTCACAGGTATCCTGAATACATTTAATAGCGATGTGGACAGTTAAACTGACAAATATGACATTTGCTTAGTAGAACGAGAGCCGAACGTTCTTTCCGTGGCCGGTCAGGCGGGCCGAGAGCGCCGGGTCTGCGAGTCGATAAGGGTCATTTCACGCTTCTGTGTGGCTGACTTTGGTCCATCATGACACTGAGCTGTGTAATTGCGCCTTATTGTCGGCTGTGGGAGACGCATATTAATGTTTGGAAATATTGCTCCGCTAGATATTGTTCTTTGGGCATTCAGCTTTCACTGGAACTCAAAAATACATGTTTATATTTTCAAGAATGTCTGGGACAGCCCGTTGAATAAAAAATTATTAAGTTTTTACAAAAACGCAATTTTCAAAAAAGGCCATCGATCGATTTTGATAAAAATTACATTTTCGGAATCAGCGCATCGTCTGCTTTCGAATGGTATATATCGTTTCTTTTGAGCCTGAGATGACCTTCCGACGAACCGTGAGCCGGAATCGCGATTCCGCGTATGTCGGCTCGCATTAGCCGCGCGTTTGCAAGCTTTTCGTGGTTTCAAACCTTCAAACATGTGATTTGATGTTGCTCCCATGCATTAGGGTGGGTGTCAAGGTCACCTGAAGGTCAGGTGACCTTGACCTGAAGGTCATTGACCTTTTCTGACCTCGGTTCACTTTTTCGAGTTTTACATGTTTCTAGGCTAGTTTTTGGAGCTGAATTCGGATTTAGCAACCATTTGAACATTTACGAAATAGTTTTGGTGACTTCGTAACATGTTACGAAGCTGTCAGAGGCGGTTGACACGTACTACGAATACCCGTCACGACGCCTACTGGTTGACCTGACCTGACCTGACCTGACCCGACCTGGTCTAAATGCTTAAAGACATCATCTGTGATCAAAACTAACACGATATTCGTGATCAGCGTCCCGAAAACCCCCTTAGCAGCCACACTTTACGACTTTCTAACAGGTCCCGATTTTCCCGACTTTATTGACCTGACCTGGAAGGTCAACCAATGACCTAGGACCTTAAAGCTGGGTATCATCGGCTTCCCCTCGTCACGGGCAACACGCTCGTTTTTTCCGCGAAGCTCTAGCTCGATCAGGGGCCAAACGGCAAGGGGGGGGGTCCAACCGACCCCCCCCCCCCCTACTTATTAGAAGCTGGCAAACGCCGCACACATGCGAGGGTTTTAAGAGTTGGCGCGCCTTCCACGGGGACGGCTGGGGTCTTGAGTCGTCCGCCAGAGTGCCAAATTCGCCGATCGCCCTCCCAGCTTGCCATTCTGAGCCTCTCCAAAAAGAACTCCGTGCTTGCCTCCACACCTTCAGCATGGTGGTGCACCTATACGGCCTTGGAAACATACACCTTTGTAGCGGCGCTGACGGCCATCGGTGCTCGATACTGGGAATCGGTATCAGCCTCATATCAAACACGCACTGTGCGTTTTTGCACGCAGGGAACAGCGGCAATTCTGCAGCAGAACCGCAAACGACTTTGTAGAGGGAACAGCGGGCGTCTCCGCAGAAAGAGCGGTGGGTGACGTTACGCTGCCCCAACGCCCGGCCTGTCAGTGCGGCCAGTCCCTGTCGCCTGACCGGTCGGAGTCAAATCTTACTCCTTCCCTTATAATTGCCCACCTGGTCTGTCACTACGCCGACCGGTGCGCCATCAAATCATTTCCACCATTCATTCACGGGTCATGGTTAGCGCAGTGCTCTGTCCTGCAGGTAGGGGGTTAACTAGTCTCATTTGAGTGGGTGTGTGACGACCGGCGCGAGTATGACCGCGACCATTCATACGCAACCTGCACTTGTCGGCACAGCTGGGGGCACAGCTGCTGGTCGGGTGCCGAATCGCAGTCGGCACCCCACACACGTGCCTTTCTGCGAGTCAGCTCACAACAAAGGTCAAAGGATGACCCGTC